CAACCGAACCATTGTTCTGCAAACCTTTTTCGCTTGGAAATGCAAGTGAACGTAAGCTCACGTGACTTGCACTCTAAACCACGGTAGTGCCAGATGAATGCGTCCATGCTTTATCATGAGCGAGTTGACCGTGACTGAACACTACACTCAAAAGCCTTGGGATGTCCGGTGTCGCACGATTCATAGTCCTCTGGTGTCACAGCATGGTCCTCTCACGGTCAGGTCGTCACCACAAAGGGGAGATTTGTCATTTTCTCTATGGAATTATGTTCACAAAATCGGATTAAATTAAGGTCAACGTGGTAGGAACCTAAACGAAGGAAGACCTATGAATAAAGGGCTTGTCTGGTTTGCATCGAAAGTATTTATGTGGCTTCATGATATTGGTTTTTTTGCGAGACAATTGTATGTCTCCTAGATGGAGTAATCGGATGTGGAAGAGAAGAACAACATAATTTTTGTAGTGCCTGGACTAGAGCATGGGTCGCTATCCCGCGGTCTACGCGGGAGTGCTATTTTGATTGGGGGGTATTTGAACTTTAGAAGCTATACAACTATCGAAAAAATGTGATTCTGGCGAGTGTGGTGCTCCAATCAGGATGGAGAACCCCTAGGATCGGTCGTAATCACGCTCGTGGAAATGCCATCCCTAGAGGGGCATATGCCCATAGAATTTTCCCTTAACAGATTGTCTATTGTAAAGCTTCAAGAAGGACACAAATCACTAAAGCCATATGCCTTGGAGAAACAGACAACCTATATTTCAAAGGAGACAATGCCGGAGAGATAAGTACCCACAGCTTAAGCAAAACGCCAGCAAATCGTTATGACACCGCTAACATTCACACCAGGTCAGCCTTTGTTCGTGACTGTCGCAGCCCAGCCTTTAGTCAGCGGTTCTTTTCCAGAGAAACGTGTTCCCGTAAATCAAGCTAACTTAGGGAGACAGAGAGGAAGAGACTGGAGCATAGTGACAGTTTGCCTCCATAACGCATTGAACTGGAGAATGAACACACGGCACTCATAAAGCCTCTACTTCCAGGTTATTCGGTAGGTAGAGTTTCGACTACCCCAGTCTCCTGATCCTGTTTGCGGGTTGGAACATGCTTGGCGACTTTATCCTTAAAAATACTGACTCTGGTGGTCTCATACCAATAGCTGCTGCCTTTCGGTTAAGCTTTGGAGTGGCGATTATTGTAAACCACCGAACTGAAGAGTTTCTGCTTGACTGAATACCCATTTTGTGGTCGCCTTTGTGGTGGAGTTTGTTTGGTAATATATCTCGGGTAAATGTGTCGATAATCACCGCCTGTCTACTGTACCCAAACACATGTAGCTGGGTACTCTCAAAGCCAGTTTTTAGGACGCTTTGAGCTTTTATTACGGTGGACAGATCGCTCAGATCTAGTTATAGTTATCATGGGTATGAATGTGCATGTAAGTAGACTTAGCTTTACCTACTGATGTCCAAGTGGTTAGAGCGCGAATTTACTGACCGGAAGGTTCGTGGTTCGAATCCAACCTGCGCCACTCGACTTCCTCTGTCTAGGCTTGGGCAACCTGGCAGTATCCCAGCCCTCGTGCTTCCTTTGGGTGGCATGGCAACTAGGCACCGAAAAGGATGCTACAGCTGAACGCAGCACAGATGACTACAATCAAGCACTGAATGTCAACCCAAACTGTGAACTGGACTATGCGTTGATTATTGTACTGTCTTATGAAAGGCATCTGACCTAAGAAAAATTAGGTACATTTATGCATCGAACGAGGTTGTTGGAAGCACCAGCGTTCTTTTCTGGTGTTCCTTCCCTTGGTGGCTATGATGCATTATTGCTCCAATCTTGAAAGGTCCTTCTGTCAAATTAACTTGAAAAAGTAGCATTCTTCACACTCCACCTACTTTTTCGCAGCTCGTGACCAGAGGTTATCAGCTTCTCCCCTGTTGAGATTCTAATAATTGCTCGGCTTCTAACCGCTGTCTAACTTTGTCCATTGTTGAACCAACTTTCCCGTTTCTCTCTCATTTTCAGGCTATTAGGAAGTACACAGACCATGTTTGCACAACTCCAGATGCACTATGTCGCTGCGATTCAGCGTCGTTCTTTATCCACCGTCCGGTCTTATTTGGACTCATTGGAGGACACTGACGAAGCACCTGGTTCGGAAACAATGTCAAACTACGCCGAACTTTGTGATGTGAGTCTGACGTACCGCTCATATTGCACATGCATCTTCCACACAGGTCTTTTGCATTCCATGTGCATGTTGACCGAGCAAGGTATTCAGGTCACTTGATTACTTCATTCTGTATTAAGTTGTACTCTGATCTCACTGTTACGAACGAGATTTCTATCAGTCTTGTTTTCTTAGAATGTGAGTTGAAGTCTATAAATTTATGGTACCTGAAGCACCGGACAGTATCCAGACATTCGTTCTCCCCTTGCCCATCGGTTAGTTGAATTATCGCCCGCGTAACTGGACTTTTTGGACCACTTTGGATGAGATAACCTAGACATCCTTCTACTTCTCCCTAACGAATACCATTTGTGATAAACGATTGAATTATGGTCATAGGAATTTTCACTTTTCTCTTATGTTACTGAAGGCCTCACTAGTGTGACTCACTTTAATTTGAGGTAGCGAATCTACCACCTTAGACGGTGTTTTAAGGTCAGTCAGTTTACTTGTCGACGCAACACACTATTTATAAGGTCGCTGAAAACTGTTCGATGGTCTACTACAGATTCCATCTTGCTTTCGGTTGAACATCAGATGTCACATTTGAATGATGTCTGCACATATCTTTTGTAGTGATGAGTCATTCTTCTGGGAATCACGAGTAGCTTTTATTGATGTACCCTCACAATCCAACTTTTTTGTTACTTTTCAGCGTCTGTCTATGGAAGGTCTACCGTCCTGTTTGTCCGATGCATGTCAGAGTCTGTGGATTATTCTGCTGTGCTATCACCGCACGACTTTATGGCACCAGAACCGTGCTTGTTCACATCTTCGAGACAGAGTAAGAGATTTTTAACTTTTCTGGCTTCCGTCGTATTTCAACTGACTCATTGCACTGTATATTTGGCAGGCTTTGTTGAAGCAGTCTAATATCGTCTACCTAATTTTATTGCCGTTTGATCTGTGAGTGCGGAAATCTTCCCGTAGTAGCAGTGAAAAAAACAACCGTCATACGGATGCCTATTTTCCATGACTCTTTTTCTGCTCGGTTCATCTGCTTTCATACATCCGAAATAACCGGAGTCGTCTGACCACATGTTGTCCTCCAACGACGTGCCAGCAACAAACTCAAATCGATCACAGTGACATCAGTTGCCAATGGTGCGGATCAATAACTGACTGTCACTCGTTTTGGAACACATTTGTGGATTCTGACCACGCACTGAAACATTGTCACTGGAACAATGACACTGCTTAAACCTCGGATAAATATTGGGGACACGGAAAACCAAGGAAATGGAGGATGTCTAGAAAGCCGGGAATATGCGGAAACTATTTCAGTTGATCCGTGCGACCGGGCTCCGGAAACTACCTGTGAGCAAAACCACCAAGGATCAAGGTGGAATGACCATCTTGAATAAAGAAGACGCCTCGATCGTTGGGCAGAATAATTTGAACAAGTCATCTTGGCCACCAACTACCACTCATCTAAAGCCCACAGCTAAAGTAGAGCCCTGGACATGGAGCCTGGAACTCTCTTAGGTCTCGGGGATTAATGACTGCATGTGTGTTCTCAAGCGCCATCAAACTCCTGGTCCGGATAACCTACTCATTTTGTTCAAAGGTGGGGTCAAGTCCTCAGTCAGCGCTGATCTGTCCGCTTGCATTTAGGGAAAAGGGACTGTCTCGGACAACTGGAGAGGATCGATAACAGTGCCTTTTTTTTTTAAAAAAAGAGCTCTTATTGGTGGCGCTAAAAAACAAAGGAATCAGTTCGATATCGGTTGTAAAAAGACTGCTGGCTTCACTTGTCCTTCGTCGTCATATGGTGGCTCGTGATACAGTGACTCAAGATCAGCAAGCGGGATTCCGGCATGGTAGGGGTTGAATTGACCGAATCCTCACAATACGTCAGGTGCTAGAACATATAGGCGACCCACAGTCTCAGTGTTCCTGGATTTCCAAGGCGCATTCGACTCGGTTGACCGGTCTTTTCTCCTTGTCACGCTTTCCCACTAGGGAATGCCCCGAAAGTTTGTAAACATAATGCATTATTTGTATTCTCAGGCTTTCGGACCTGTAAGAGTATACGGAGAGCTCTCCAAAAACGTTCGCGCACAAGGTGGTGTCTGTCAGTGTTGCCCATTTTCTCCATTCCTCTTCAAGCTCTTGATCGATGTGAAAATGAGAAGAGCACTGGAAGGCGTCCAAAACACCGGGGTTCCAATAGCCTCTGATGTAAACCTTGTCGATCTGGAATATGCAGATGACATCTTTCTCTTCGAAGCGGAGGATAAGGTGCAGGTATTTTTGGACTTAACTGACCAACGTCATCCCGTCCTTTGGTGTGCACTTTCCACCACAAAGTGTAAGGTCGTACTCGTGGACATGCAGTCACTGGACCAACGTCATCCCGTCCTTTGGTGTGCACCTTCCACCACAAAGTGTAAGGTCATACTCGTGGACATGCAGTTACTGAGCGTGCCACTTACAACCCAGGAGGAAGCACTGGATGTTTTGGAGTGTCTCGCGTTTTGTTAGTTCTAATCGTAGTGTAACAGCTGAGATCAATGCACGAATCTGCAAGGCTCGGGTCACGTTTGCCAATTTAAGACGCCTATACCATCAAAGCCGTATATCCCTGAATCCCAAGGGATGTGTGCCAGGCTACAGTGCGGATTGTTTTATTGTATGACTGTGTGACTTGGCCTCTTTGATCGGCGGAACTGAGATATCCTCAGGTGTTCGACAATTGTTGTCTCAGAACCATAGCATAGTGCATACGCAACGCGCCTCACCACATCTGAGGCATGACAGGCTGATATGTTGAGTTTAGACGCACAACGTAATTGTAATGATGAACGTCTTTCTCAGCAGTTAGTAATACCTCAGCTATACTCAATTTCAACGTACTCGACACGGTTGTGCTATCTGGCCTCCCCTAAAACAGGAAAACCATGGAGTCAAATTGATCGCAGCTACTAGCCACCGACAATGAATCTCTGCACTCGGCTTTTGGTCACGTTGGGGTACAAATGCTGATTCAGATCACACCACCGGCCGGTGTAAATGTTAGTTTAGTTTCTCGGACAAAATCAGGAACAAAACCTGCCTGCTAATCGAAAGGCTTTCTGAACCACGAATTAAAGAAACTTAAAAAAAACTTACTATGCCCTAAACGTAGTCTCCTCCGAAGACGTTAGTCGTAAGTGGAGTGATCACCATGGCTGACGCTGGGGAATCAGCATGTGGTGTATTCGAACACACATATTGACCAGTGGACGTCAGGGCGGTCACTTTTTTTGGAACAGAACGATGTAATTTGTTGGGATCATAGCATATGTCGGCCAGAGGGCGTGTTAGACGTCGTCATCATCTTTGGCAGCTAAACCAGTGGTATATATTGGCGCTTAATTGCCATACAAGCATGAGAAATGACTGCCCTGGTAAAATGCAAAGAGAAAAGAAGGGTAGGAACTTAGTGCTGGGAAGTCCTGTGCCCTTGAGGAAAACGGTCAAAAGTAAGATGCCTGCATCTTTGGATGGCATTAAGATAAGCACACCTGAGCATCTTTTCGAATCAGTGCACTATCGACGGGATCAACCCAGAGTCTCTTGCGCCGTTCATCCAGCGATTAAGCCAGAGTGCGTCTCGCTTCGATCGGTTGTTTTCCCTCTACTGCAAGATCCCCAGCCACGTTCAAGCATGTTCACGTGGGCTCCTTCCTGGAGTGCATGAAGATCCCATAGCACTCAGTTTTATTGTAGTTGCTCGAGATAGTTCAGTGGTTAAAACAGAAGTCTTACCACATGCTTGAGACTTATATCCCCTGTGGTTGGAATAGTCTTTCCAGTGTTACCTTTTCTGGACACGGGTACGACCAGCGATTGGTCCCAATTCTCTGGAACATGTTCTTCTTCCCATACACCCACGAACAACCCGACTCAAGTCAAAGTTTCCATTCCATCTCTGGGTAACGCTATGGGAAACGCATCCAGTCCAGTTGCCCGATGACTCTTCAAGGTGGAAAGGCATTAGTGTTTGAGAAACTTATGGGAGGTCCAAACTCACAGAACACGCTTCCAAATGGCCGGAATGAATTGAAGGTATGGGTACTGGAGCAAGGGACGGACAAACTGTTTTTGAAAATATCTCGTTCAGTGATCTAGACGCCGATGTTCATTGTGTATTAGGTACTCGGTGCTATATTTGAGTAAATCATGAAAGACCTTTGTATGTCTTGTTTTCTAGATTATCCTGAACAGTTGCAACAGCCGCCGTGCAGTCGCAACCGCGCTGACATCCCCGTCTCTTGAACTTTCTAGTTCCATCACTCTTCTCCATCCACAAAGCCCAGGTCTAAGCTGGTCATCAAACCGATATTTTATCTGAACGCGCATGGATGGAGCACCTGGCATCAAGGAGTGATGGTGACCGCCTTGAGACCTGATGGTTCCTATATAGGTGCTCAAAACTACCACAACCAGGGTTCCAGGCGTCACGTGTAGCCGTGGTCATCATCCCAGTTACGTACAATACCCTCTGAGGCGGTCGCTTGTGACGCTTTGCCGCGTCATTGGTAGCTGACGGCGATGGTTCCAAAGCTTCTCAGAAGTAGGAGAATGCCGATTGCACAATGGCGTCAATTGCTGTCCCAGTGCTGCTGAGAAACAGATAGTTATCAGTATAAAGTTACAAACATTCACCCTTATCATTGCGTCTTGCATCCAGACCAAACGTACCACCACCGTCTTTTGAAGGGACTGAAATCTGAGAACTGAAAGTGTATATGATTTGAGCATCTAGAAGGATCTAGGTGTACTTTATGGCAGTCCTTCATGCATCTCAGATACGTTTCAGGCGTCCAGTGGCGTAGTTTCCGTATCCATACCCTTCTAAACTGTCGGGGATGATCTAATCGCAATCTGTGTGCGAGTGAACTTGTCAGACTATTTTTGACAACACCCCATTCGCGTAATTTGAGACCTCAGGTTTTTGTTGATTTTTCTACTATCGTTTTTTGCTGTATTACTTTCGATCAGCCGCCTCCTGAATGATGTTCAGCGCTCATGGGCGTAAACTGTCCACTTTCATACTCATTCTTATACACTGGACACGTTCCCTCCCTGCATGCGAAGTTCCTGCAGGTTCTTTTTGTCAAATATTTTGAGATGTCGACACTTCACGTAAAGCAAATGCTCATTTTTCGAATATCCCTACTTTTATCGAAGGTTGAAGATGGTATTTCGACAAAACCACGAACCTCACGAGTCCCTGACAGTTCCTTACATGAGCACGAGACTAATCTGGTAGATGCCTCGGCCCCCGAAACTGTTCCATCGAATCATTCCGAGTCACAGGATTATGAATGCGATGAAGAGGTAGGCCAACCACAACTGATACGGCAGTGGCACGAATACGTGGTGAGCAAACTGAATGCCAGCCGGAATCGCATTTGGTCTGAAGTTTCTTGTCGTGTAGAGACCATACTGAAAGCTATGGGACGATTCGTTACGGAAATGTCTTTCAAGCAGATATCCTTCATTTTACAGACGGTCAATCAGTGAGTTATTGCAACGTTTCCCAGTTTTGACATGAGTTTTCTTTTTTGCCCCGGAACAGGCTTACGTCCCGCGAGTTAACAAGCATTCAGTAGTCAGTGATTCACCATTCAGAACAACCATTATTCTTTTCTGTAACTTGGCCGTACTGCTGCCAATTTTCCTGGTTTCCTTTAAATCCCAGTCTTCCTTCAGTAAAAATCGGACAGAAGTTTACCACCGTCATAGTCTGTTCATAGTAATCTAGACATTGCCCGTGAAGGTAGTGGTGATGCCACATTGATCATTATTTCACGTCCTTTCAGTTTTCTCAGTTCACAAACCACGCACCGGTACCGCCTCGTTCATAGAAGGTGAGGAAAATAAGAGAATGATAGCCACGCGTTGGAGGCGATGAACCAATCCACGCATTGACGACAAATGGATCTGGTTGTTGAGTATGGCACGGATTGAGGACTACGCAGCTAAGACGATAGCCTTGTTGGTTGGCAAACCATCGATGGGCGCATGCAAGCTGAAAATTTTCCGGAACACTTCCAGACCGTCATTCGCTGCGTGATGCAGCCATATCTGTTATGGTTACCAACCATTGGTTTGTCTCACCTCTGGATCGTCTTCATCTGACACAAGGCTGAGCGAACGGGCAAAGTGTCCTCTGGCGCACAAATTACGTGTTCCTAACCAGCGTAACCATGGGATGTGAGCACCTGATCTATCGAAGGAGGACCGATTTTCCTGAAAACCATCTGATGTACCCCAGCATTACGGATCCGATGTTCCTACTAGACCCGCGCAACGCTTGGGGGGCACCGATCGTCAAACACAGAGCCTTCGAAGTCTTTTCACACATAGTGCCTACGTGTCTGATCCGTACAGTAGGAGAGGTCGAACCTCGACATTGTGCACTCTACACTTGACAGGTCCGACCTAAAGCTCCCACCTTGACGTGGTGGTCGGGCTTGAGTGCTGCAATGATCCCGCGGGCTACACTGGCTGGAACTTCGTTCCACAAGGTTCAACCATGCCAGGAAGACCAAAGGAGAGCAGCCAGACCAAGAGCAGCGAGACTCCGTACTACGAGTAATCGTGCTACGAGGCGGCCTGGAGGTAAAGTCGTACTGTCCTCTGCGACAGGAGTGTGAAGGCAGTAAGGTGTTTCAGGCGGGCGACCAGCATGTCCATATTCGTGGAAGCAGCGATGCTGTCTTCCCTCGATGTAGGATGGGTACAAATGGTTGGGCATAAGAACCGCACACTCTGATCGCTCAACGGTCGCCAGCGCGTTATTGAATACCGTCAAAATACTGTTAAAACCAAAGCGTTCGGTGCTGCTCAAAAGGCACCTACCGTGCAGTAGGTGCAGTAGTGGTGAAATGGTAATGCCTTATTCCCTCTATCCTCGAGTTAGGCCAACTCCCTGTGACACTGCTTCAAGCAACCAGACGTTCGCCTTCCTGGACCTGGAAGCTCTTGACACTGTGAACTGTCGGGCACTATGGCAGTTTCTATGGAGCAAAGGTGTCCCCAATGAATTCTTGATCCTCCTTAAGGCGCTGTACACCAACTCTAACAAACGTGCGAAGGTCCATGGGATGCTCTCGCCTGAGTTCACTACATCAACTGATGTCACGCGGAGCTGTTCTATTTCCCTTTCTCCTTCAACTTCGTCGTTGATAAGATTACATTAGGCTCACTCCCAGCATCTAATGCCTGTGGGGTCGAAGCACTCCCTGAGAATCCGCTCACAGATATCGAGTATGTAGACGACATAGGTCTTCTGGGATCTGACCCCGTGGTAATAAATAATCTAAATAATTCCGCCTCACAGTTCGGCATGCGCTTCACACCTGCAAAGTGTAAAGTCCTACTGCAAGATTGGGTGGGCTCGAACCCTCAGCTTGCTGATGAGCTGATTGGGGTAATGGAGAAGTTTGTCTACCGGGTGAGCTGTATCATTCTCATTATTCTCTTAAAGTATATTATATCCATCTGGATTGGGAAGACCAGAGCAGCTTTGGTGAACCTGCATCACCTGTGGCGTAGGCGTGACACCAGGCTATCCGTCAAGGGTCGCGTTTACAATGCTCCGGATCAGAAACCCGGCCGCTGAGGACGTGGAAGGACTTTCAGTGCTTGAACATCGATGCCTTCGGGGCATGGCCCGAGTCTAGTGGGAACACCGAATCAGTAATGCTGACGTAGGTCGAATGGTTTTCGGATGGAATAACTTATCACACTGCATAGGGTGCGCTGGTTTGGTCACGTGCTCCGTGTGCTAGTCGACCGAATTTCTCAAAGGGTTCTTTTTACACAACTATGCGAAGGTTGGAAATGAGCCAGGGGAGATGGAACAATGGCTCCGCAGCGAAGTATGAAACCCATTACCAGCAAACTCAGCTGCGCTGGTCATTGCCGTCTACCTGGATGGGGACCCCGAGACAGCACACATCAATGGTTGGAGAAATTGTCAGACATAGCCCAGTCGCTTGCTCAATGGCGCATGTGCATCCAAGCTATTGCTTTCAATGGATAGTTCCCTTCCTAATCTTTCCTATGGATAGTCTACTGAAACCCTGTATTTACGCATCAATTTTGTCAGCTCTCGCCTCCAATATTTAGCTGCCTACCACAATCTCCGTAAATCATCGGTGAACAAAACTGGAGCAGTTATAGCCAATGTACGGCAAGTATGCGGTTTTTACGGTTGATGATGGTGATGATAAATCGTCTCACCTAGTCCTGCCCCCCCCCGGATACTATTTAAGCTGCCCTAGAACTACGCAATTAGTAATGAAATATTTCTTGCGAATTTACCTTTATTCAACTCTGGTACTGGTGTCAACGTTGGCGGCGTTGGTAATTTTGTTCTTCGGGACTGCAAATCGTTCTGGATAATCTTCTCGTAGGGGATAAATGGGTGTTAACTGGCGGTTTCATCACAGCTCTTTGGTTTTTACCCACTTCGTGCTGTTCTGCATTTACCGTGCTTCTTAGCGCTTCAAACTACCGCTGCGAATTCTTTGCAGCAAAAATTACGACACTTCTGAACCATCAACCCGATACGCCTTGAGGCGTACGAGGCTGGTTCGATGGGGATTGATCTGTTCGTCGAGCTCGGCCGTTCGTTTGCAAACCTTAGCTCACTAATCATGGTAACGTCATCAGTGCGCCGCTAAGTGGCTACTTCCCCCCGTTTGCTTTTACGTAGTTGTTAAAAAGCAGGTTTTGGTAGCTCCTGAAGTAGCTGTGCTAAATGAACCACGGCTTTCTCTTGACTTCTTTGGTATTTTTGTGTCTGCACTACGTTGTGTTCCACATTCCTTTCATTTGATTGTATCCCTTTGTTCAAGGTGGCCCTTTGATTTATTGACTGGAGTTATTTCCCAGTGAAACTGATTTGTCCATTAGGTTTGGCTTTCTGTGCTTCACCTACAAGTTTATAAGCCACCGTCTTAGTGTTCTGCCTCAAGAGTCTTTTAACTATTTCAACAGCGTTCTTGAGGCATTGGCGTGTAATTTGCTCGCCCCTCCTTCATGATGTTGGGTTGGTCATGCTGAACATTCCGAGCCATCTGAAATTAAAATGATGTTGGGTTGGTCATGCTGAACATTCCGAGCCATCCTGAAATTAAATTTCTTGAATTTTCATTCGTTTGAAAAAAAATTTCCGAAAGGTTTTTCTCTCCGCATTTCAGTTTGTCCTAGTACATCTAGATGGTGACCGGTGATTGCTGCATTTGCTCAGACTTTGATCCGTACGTGACCATCCTTCTGTATACCTTAGTTTGTAGTTACCAATTTAACAGTCTGTTGGTGAAGACTTCCAGTAGTCCAGCAATTCCAACTCAACAAAACAAGTCCCAACGAATGATTCACACACCAGCGCCTCAAGAACGTCGCTTAAATGACTTCAATATTTACGATAGCTACTACAGTGGCTCACAAACCTGCGAACAGCTTGCAGTAGGTTCTGATAAGTTCAAGAGGAAGATTGGGTGGTACGACGAAGAGCATTGTCATGTACGAGACTCGATATAAGAATCGCAACAGGTACCATGTGAAACAAGTATGAAGAGATCTTCCCTTCAGACTTCACAAACGTGAAGTCTCCACCAAACAACTCGATCAGTTCCTACCCTTCACCGCGCATCAAGCTCAGGAGGGACGTTAGTTCGACTGGAAGACAGTTAGCATACTGGACCAATCAAAAACAAAGAGAGAACATGAGTTCCAGAAAGCGTGGTACTCCCCCGATGTGGACGTCAACAAATATGTTGCAATTGACTTAATTTATCAACCTGTGAGTACCATAGATTTTCAGACTTGCAAAGCTCATGTATGTGCAAGAGGCCAGTAGAAAACATGTAGAAGAAGCAAAGGAGCTCGAACCTAAAGAATAAATCAATTTAATTGGACTTTACTAATATAACCAACAAATCAAAGGACCACACCGAACAGAGAAAAGCCTCTCGTCAACCAAACCAATCAAGTGAAAAGTCTGCGGAACTCATTGCAAGTGGATCACTGAAATTATTAGGGAGCTGCACCTCAATTAACCATTCCCATCAGGGTTTACGTTTAAGGAGAAGTATCCATCCAACGGCGCATTGGTGATATGCCCTCGATTGGTGAGATGTTTGCAGGTTAGTTGCCAAGCTCAGCCACCCAATCAACAATCGATAGATACACCTTGTCTATCCGTATTTCGACATATCACTCGCTTGCTTCTGTCCACTTCAGTACCCTGGTTGCCGTTGCAGAGCACCGGGTTTTCAGATTCTCAAGTACAACCTTATGGGATGTACATTTAGTCATGGGAATTGTGCCGATTTTGTGGTCGACATTTGCCCAGTTAAGCTGGGCAAGTCTAAATAATTGAGCATATTTTTGTCACTCTAGAACAGCCATTTACTCCGACTGCCATTCGCGGGTCTTTTTATTACTACTACTAGTACCTGGTGTGCATCGTTGTGCTTCGTCTTGATGACATTCACAACTCACATTTGTGCCTACAGCTTTGTCAAAATCGGACAGGAATTTTCAGGATCCACAGGTTCCGATTTACTGGAATTCCTTCGCACGTCCATTCACGCATTTTTCAAGGAGTTCCACCGGTAAGTTTTACTAATTACTCCAACCACAGTATGTTCTGTCTTTCTAACGGCAACCCCTTGTTTGTTACTGACGGGGTTGCCCCATCGGTTTGGCTATCTCGTCCTTCGTTTCTACCTTCACCCACTCCCTCATGCAAAATCGGCTATGTCCGTCACATAGAACGTGTTGATCACCGTTTGTTATTGTGGTTAGGCCCAAGCACAACGCTTGGCTGGTATGGGGTTGCATCTGCCACTGTCACACCGTACCCGTTGTGGATTCGACTGACGAATGTCGTTGGATGTTCCTCTTGATTAGTCTGACAGATCTGGTACAATAAGTGAAGTGCCTTTCTTGAACGCATTGCCTCCCGAAAGTTGAAATTCAAGCACTTTGATTCCGATATCCATAAGTTATAATGCTATATTCCATTGAGACGTGAGTCACTTTTTGAACTTAGGATTTTCTCTCGTAAAGCTTGCGTGCTACGTGCTCAGATAGTGAATTGTCACGCAAGAGGTAAGGTCAGTCTTCAGAAGTTTACGTACAGAAAATTAGCTAGCCGAAGGCTCATAGCAATAGCTCACTAATTTCGAAAGGTAAATTAATCTGAGTATAAGCCTTGTCGAAATCGAAGCTCTTAGTGCACATGTGCATCTCTTCTAACGTTAGCAAGTTTAGCAGACAGCTTATTTCTCCAGCGGAATGTTATCCTGTACATTCGGTTCCGAAATGCAAAATAGCTTCTTAATTTAGGGTGACGAAGAAAAAAGTTCATAGTACAACTTTAGATGACTTTGGGCTGAAGCTGACGCTCGTTTGTCATACTGAAAAAGCACTATAAATGAGGAAAATATGCCAATGGCTAAGTTCAACTCCGTCATATAATTGTTTTTTTTGAGTTTTTGTCGGTCATTGTCAAATTATTTTCATTTTTTCCACATTAATAGGAAGCATTTAGAACGCCTCCGTGTATTTCTGGGAAACGAAACCTGGGAGTTTTGTCCTGTGAAGTCTTCTTTCACCGTCCTAGATCTGCAGGTAAGCCATTTACATAATCCTTCAGTTTCATTGAAATAAATTTTGAGCAGGTTGACAATGATATATGAAATTTTCGGCAGACTAGCTCAGTCGTATTGCTATCCATTGTCTATTTGGTTGAGGGCGTTTAAAAACAAACCTATTGTTGTGACCTTCGCTGCATGTCGCCCCAGGGGTTGAACAAGGCGCCATACAATACCTATACAGCTTATATACTCTGAGGCAGTAAAACGTTGTCTGAGTTCTTAAATATCCCGACAGTGAATAACCCAACGAAATGCACACGATCTGTTTTCGAAATCAACATCAGATGAAAGAGTGAATAATAGTGAGGTCGTTTGAACAGGGCAAGGCTTCTTCGAGTGGATTTTTTGGAGTATCTCAGGCAAATGGATGAGCGTAACAAAAATGACGCCAGATTGGGCGTTGGGTGAACGCAATCCGAATTCAACGAGAAAGTTATCGGTAAGTGAGCACACTGGTGTTACGCCGTTTCTCATTTGTTGTCTCTTGCTGCGGTGGTGCTTGGCTTCCTGCTGCGCCCACCATAGTTTATCAAAAGGCAGCGCAGCTTGAGGCAGCCGTTTATGGAGAAAAAGGGATATCATTACAACTGTATTTATGGCGTCATCAGAGAATATTTCACAAGGTTGCGTTAAATCCTTCGTGAGGTGACAAGAAGCGTCGAGCCATACATGTTCGATCCAGATTGGCTGACATTCTGACCAATCAGGGTGTGCCATCGTCTGGTCCGTAGGCCACACGTGACACGCCCGTCCTGCCGACATGATATTTGGTTAAGGATGGCTGGCCCCTGGGCATTAGGCTTCCACGAAATCTCTTTTGACCTACAATGCGTATAATAATGCTATTGGTATTTTGCTTTCACCAGGCTGCAAGGACGATGGGACAAAGACTTTCTCAACAGACTATTTTCGCCTAAGCTATACCGTAGCCGTAAAAACCGCGAAATTATTGGTTTCAGGCCTGAACATCCTTTTCATCAGCTTAAATTTACTTTTGACCTAATCCATCTCCACAGCCATTCCATGTACTCGGAAAATGTCATGGGCGTTCCCTTTTTTGTTTGTGTTCGTAATACCGACGAAGCCCTGGTTATGTTCATCTCATCCCATAGCCCTAATCTTGATTTGCCAAAGAATTCTACTATAGCCATTTGAGGCCGAATATAGCAACAATTTTTATCCATATGTGTAGATGAATGCAGCTTTTGGCCTAAGGCACACACGTAATTATCTCTTGGAGACTTTATCCCGTTGGGTTAACTTGATGACGCCCGTGATACTACGTTGACAAGACCTTGGTTGTTGTATCATATCATTATGTTCTCACGTAACAACCAATAAGCTCCACTGTTTTCGTTCCTTTATAAGACCCGATATGTTGCTTTGATCGACGCATAACACTTGTTATTTCCATTATTGTGTACTGCTGTTCTACTGTATGATCAATTTGGACCTCGGTACAGCTGTAAATTTCCAGTCTCATGAATGCACACCGAAAGTCGATGAGTTTTCCACATCAGATCGTACAGGTTGTAAATACAGTTGTGACTACTGTGTCAAATTCTGTGTACAAAGATTCGGCACAGGATCCTTGGTGTTGCTTCAGTGGTTCACAGAAGCTTTTTGAAGTTTCCTTGAAGAAAATAACCAAGTTTTTTGCTGCAGACCTACACCAGCGGCTAGAGTTTGCTCAAATTCCTTAACGTAAGATTCGAAAGCATTTAATGTTCCACAGAGTCAAGCACTTAGTTTTCGTACACCGTTCTAGATTATTTTCTCTAGTGGTTTTTGATTTACTAAGATGCCGGTGTCCATCGGAATTCATTGGTTCAAATCAACACGATCTGGAATAGCGATTGTTGCGGAGCGTTAGTCTCGAAACCATACTATGTTTTTCAACGATGAGACTCTCCGTAACTGTGGTGTCGTGCTCAGGTGGGAATACTCTCAGATGCTCCATCTTCCAACTGATGCAGATATTGTGTACGATCTACGTCGGCCGGAAGATGAATCGATGAAAACACAAGTTCATCTACCGTCTCTTTTTCCAAATTGTCAGGTACTTTACACCAGATACAGACATTCATATCAGTGGTACTCCTCACGGTTTCACGCAGTAGCTATTTGCTACTATCATTCCTACTATCAACTTGAATCCTACTGACTAGTTCTTCTTCCCTAATTTGTAATGAATGACGATTCTCGCGGTCACACATGTTCGTTTGCTGAGTTCTGCGCAACTGTATTAAAATCAAATGGAGAGATCAGTATCGATCATTTCATTGATCTCTATCTTGAAACAATTATTTTCGTCGCGGACGGATTGTTTTTTTAATACTGGAGGTGTTAAGTGAGGCAGATGCATAAAATTTATGATTAGATGGCAAGCTTACATTGCTAAATGAGAAAATACGCTTGCTTAATCAAATAATAGGTATGGGATATTGTCGGCTTTTGATCTGCTCCTCTTGTGTTATTCCCTAAGTATTCCATCGCTAAAAGACTGCCATGTGCGAAAGGGTTGTGTTTTTCTTATCTTCGAGGGGGACACAGTTGAAAACTGTAGGGGAATATTCTGTGCTTGGAGATATTTCACTTAAGAGCATGACTACATTTGAACTTTCTTCAACTGGAAAATAGTTAGGTTAAATGCAGCACCTGAAAGCACTCAATGTAATATATCAGTCCATGTTCTCGATAGAGTATGAGTCGGTTCACAACCGTTTACAGTTTCATTCACACGCTACGTCCAGACAACCGATTTATTGAGTTATGGAGCAATCTTCGTTCGCTAAAACATTATCGGTGGCAAATTGATGACTTGCAAAGATAGGCCTCTTCATAAGATCCATGCTACCAACAGGCAACCGCGGTTTTGTAGCATCACAGTCCTCCAATTACTACTTGTTTCCTTCCATGTAGCGTTTATCTGACTTCATTGTTTTGTCACTTAGAGAATGCTGAAAGATGCTGACACTGGCGATAACTGAGGCCAAGGGACGAATCATCACATCCGGTTTCACTTCACTTGTTACATTTTTTCATGATTAGTTTGACCCATTTCGCCCCCAGCTTGAGTGAAATTGAGTGTGTTTTATTTTCATTGCAGGAATACCGATCACTTTCCAACCTTTTTAAAAATAACGGTTTTGATGTTCATGAGCAGACGCCAAACGGTTCCGAAGGTGCCCAGAAGTAAGCATTGTTAGACATAAATTTCCACAGTCGTTGACTGTTTTCCCTTGAGAATGCTGAAAGATGCTGACACTGGCGATAACTGAGGCCAAGGGACGAATCATCACATCCGGTTTCACTTCACTTGTTACATTTTTTCATGATTAGTTTGACCCATTTCGCCCCCAGCTTGAGTGAAATTGAGTGTGTTTTATTTTCATTGCAGGAATACCGATCACTTTCCAACCTTTTTAAAAATAACGGTTTTGATGTTCATGAGCAGACGCCAAACGGTTCCGAAGGTGCCCAGAAGTAAGCATTGTTAGACATAAATTTCCACAGTCGTTGACTGTTTTCCCTTGAATAACACCCAGCAGTAGTTATCATCATCAGTAGTAGTTATCACCCAGTAGTAGTTATCAGTAGTGGTTATCACCCACTTGTAATAGGGCACCAGTGCCACCTTATTTCCCGCAGCATCCACAATACAGCCACTACAACACGATTTTTCCTACCCGCAGACTGTCGTCGGCTATTGGGGGCTACCCGGGAAGCGTTTACACCATTTGGACTCAGACTAATCTATATATGTTTCCTGATTTGTTGCCAGCTCATTGCGCATGTGGTGATTCTCCATCCTTCAGCACTAATATGCATAGTCCAACAACAGTCTAGGCAACCAGAATCTATGGCCTCCATACAGATGTTTAAGTTGCTCATTAAATGGCGATACGCCCGACAATGGTTGTTAATCGGTCCCCTAGTAAATCGTCAATATTGAAAACAACTTGTTTAGATACACAACGACGCTCAGTTGTCCTCCTGTCCGTTTGGATGAGGAAGATGGTAAAATATGAGCGAAACGACCCGTCCATGTGAACAATAAAGGTTGTGTTCGAAGTCCTCACCGCGAGCATGGACAAAGTATTCAAACGTCCCCAGGTACCTGCATTTTGTTGGGTGGAGTTATTCACACCTTGCTTACGGATTACCTGTTCCCAGGTGGACTTTTTCACATTGATCCCCCCACTGCCCTGAAGAATTACTTGAAAGCTATTAAGTCCTACCAACCGCAGTGAATAAACTGAGAACGATAGACGCTATTGCATATATTCACTCACCCTGCGTTTCACGGAAGCCGCACAAGTGCCATACGCGCAGAATACCATTCGTGAACAGTTTTCTGTGGCTTCACAGTTTACTCGCCCAGGGTTGATGGATTGGATGTTTTTTGAACTTGAGCGTAATCCAACCGTACATCAGTGAATTTGGAAATTTTTGTGCGAATAAATTCGTTGTCGCTGAAACTTATCAAGTAGTATGTTTCCGTAAACTAATTCACTCTTATTTCAGTTGGGTTATGTTTCTTCATTTTCACTTTAGCTTATTTTGCTCACATTTGTCATTTCTATCTCACTGGAAAGTATTCTGTTCTTCTGCTTTGTAATTTTGCATATGAGTGTTTTTCAGTCTGGTGACACGTTATGAGTGGGGTTTAGGCTCTCTGTGCAAGCGTCCGACCTTGTGTTTGGGGAGCGACTCGGGCAATGAAGCACAACTGAGCTCGAGATTGCCAACAAACCTAAACCAGCCCATCGGGCTGCGCAACAGTCGTCGGGTCCTCCGGACTTAGGCGCAATTTTTCTAGCCCCTGTCGGGCGGGCGTCAGCGTGAACACAACGTTTCCCACCTTTAGGTGTCCTTTTGCAATTAATTCGCATAAATTTGTCAAAACGGCCTAGTTGAACGTTGAATGATGCAACACTGTTGTCGCCCAGTTACTTTCTATGGCATATTTATATGCTTTCACCATCGACAAAACGTGTGGATGAATAGTACTTGCTTCAAACAGGAAAATGAACACGCAAAATCAATACTTCACAAAATTATGCCTTTGAGTCAGTATTTTTATTGTCTTTGAAATCAATCTCTGGACAGAAATTAACTTTCGATTTACAACCACTATTGCAGATAATGGGCTGGTATTCCTCCTCATTTAAGTAGTCTCGACCGACCAACCAGGCTAGAATCCCTTATCCAAAGCATACACACACGCTATTTTGGATGACACCACTCGTAAGATCGTTGAGACCGTTTTACTTCATCCCTTTTTGGAATAGTTTGCTTGTTGGGTGTTAGCCACTTCCATTGTTCGATCCCGTCTGTCCTTCGTAATTTAGGGTGCATGATCCATCCACAATTCCTGTTGCTGGCGGTACAGAACAGATCTTTTTCAAGTCTCCGTATCATATGCGTCAGTTTCCCGTACAGTCTGAGCCAAAACCTACTGTTCAACATACGAACTTATCGAAGTCCATGCACTCCAGTGAACCGACCAATGGGCGATCCCGTATTCCCTCGGCAAGTCTACTTGTGTGCCCAGAGTTGTTAGCTGCTTTTCTGGCTCCTTTTTCTGTTTTAACGCATCGGTTTAAGTATTGATGCCTAGGTTGTTTATCGGTCGTAATTACCTCTATTATAAATGTTTTCCGCAACTGAGCAAATCGTTCCTAACTATACATTCGTTTAGACCATTTGAAACTAGTCACTCATGGGTTGATTGCGAACAGTGTTTGTGTTTCGTGCGAAGCATCTTTTGTTGGATCGACCCAGACTTACGGTACTCAACTTTTCGTCACCTAATGGGTTTTCTCCTGGTACTAATCGAACTCGAACAATCGGGTTCAGTTCACTCGGGCTCATCATGAAGTTAGCATTTAGTGTGTTCTGATTTGCGAAACGAATCTAGAGACGAACAGAATAAATCTGGACTTCATTCGATGCTAGGAGGCACGTTTGTTACGGGCCCAGTTCATTCAACAATTGAGTGAGTCTTTTCACCCCATTAATAGGTTGTTCGGAGCTGGCGTGATGAAGCAACTTTGCGAATGGGACAAGCGCTACTGTTGTCGATATAAATATAGAATCACCACTGAGTTGCCCGCAGTCAGAAACCTGCTGGCGGTCTATTCCAATGAGGTCCTGTGCGGAAAGTCAGTAGGCAATCAGTATTAGGCTCGGAGGAATTTCTGTGGAAACATACCGCGCAAAAAGCGAAATAGGAGGCGAAGCACGCTCATCTGCAAACTAAGTTGATGTTATCGAGGAATATACTCGTTTGCAAATCAACTTGATGTTAGTCGAAGACCTGAGAGGCAGCTGTCAGGATTATGGTTTTAAACTACAAGTCAATGGTACAATGTCAGAATGGGCTAAGGAAGGTAGACGGCCGGAAATCAGGTCAAGTCTCTCTCGTGCATACAAACCGTCTTCATTCAAACCTGGGTTATTGCGGTCTCGCGTTTCCTGGCGATAGCATGGTTCCTTATTGCAGTTGTTTTGAAGTCTATTTGGAAGAGTGTAGAGAACTTGTTGCCCTGTCCCCGTTGCCTCCCTATATGCTCCGCCTCCCAGAGCGTATCTTATTATGCAATGTTCAGGAATCTTTCTGAACCATGTATTCAGGTCCGTTTCGGCTTATGACGTGTTTTCCGGAGGTATTTAGATTGGACTATAATTTTCTGCTGTGGGGGGTCTCTTAGATTTCACATGTATCTGGAAGTAATGTGTTTAGAAGTATTTGCAATAAACATCGCTAGTCCTCTCTTTTTCCCAGTTTTCTGCTAGACAGCCCTTCATTAATTATCCTATTGTCCCTTCATCGCATCCAGACATCATCAAATCCTGTTGATGATCGGAACACTGGACCATTGTTGTCTAGCACAACACTAGAAGTGCTCCGATTGATCGGTAAGTCTCTTGATGGGTGTGTAACTCGTGTTTCATTGCAGAAGTCGCTGATAATAGTCAGACCCTTTGCACTGAACGTGTAATGTTTCCTCGAATGCCATACTTTTTATTGGACCTGAGATAACTCCTTGGCAAAGGCGCGAACTTACTGACTGAAAGGTCCGTGGTTCAAGCCCATTCCCAGCCTCTGGGCTGCTCCTGTTTAGGCTTAGGTCACCTGTTAATAGCTCAGCCCCGTGCCTAGCAGGTATACACCGAAATGGTGTGAAAGCTGAACGCTTACGACTTCCGTATATGCGTTAAAAAAAGAAGGAATGAACCCCGAGATCGGTGTATCTCCGTAAGAGGCAAAAGGTCGAAACTCGGATGTGAAACTGGTTGAAAACACACTCATAATGTCGGTTGTTGATTTGAAAAGAGGATTTTTCAAGGAAATGTGGAGGAATAAGTGTGGTTCGAGTTTCCTAATGTGTAGCCGTCTTGAGTGGAAGTGAAAGTGAATGAACTCTCTTCTCAAGCTGCGAATGAATTAACATCTGTGAAAGGAACGCTAGAAAGACAGGATATTGAGGCAACACGGCTAAGGTTTTAAGAACACTGAGGTTGGCAGTAGCTGTATGGAATGTACAAAGTGTCCACATCTCTTTGATGTGCGAATGGATGTAAGTAGTCAGTCAGCAAGCGATTGTCGCTGGGGGATGACTGTCTACTGTCTTCGGTCCAGCTACCCAAGAGGGGTAAAATATCGTCAGCTCAATGCCACGCACCACTCAGCTTTCAGTGGTCTTTCATGGCGTTCGGAGCGTTCTTGATCGCTTCTGTCCAGGTTTTCAAAACTCGGAGTTATCTATTTGTTGCATTACTCCACGGCTACTCACCAAAGGTGTTGAAACTAGACCAGCTATGTGCTTAGGATAGCACTTCAATTGATATGGAGCGAGATAGCTCAGTTTTCTCCGTCGAATTATAACCTGTGGCTCTAATGCTGAACCCAGGATATCGGTACATCTGGTGGGCTTAATTCAGTGATTCAAAATCAACACAGTATGAACCACATCTGAAGTTGGTACCCCAAAACGTGGTATTATCAAGAGAGCCATGTAGCTTGTTCACGTTTCATAAAGAAACAACATAAAGAAGCATTATGTGGGCCAGTTACATACGTGCCCAGTTGAATGGGGATTGGTTCATCGGCCGCATTATTCTTGGGTATCCTCCACTCTTTTTTGCTGTTTTACGGTAGTAATGGGAATGATCACCATCATCTGCTATCTTATGAACTAATTAGTGCCATATTTAGTTGGCTACCATTGCCCTCATCTATTCCTTGGATTTGTTTTTGTCAATCCAGAGGCTGTACCAATGACATTTTGTGAAATCGGGCAGGCTGTCACTAAGCCCGAAAGACCGAAAATTCTGTAGGCAAGTCAGACAAATGCGTCACCATATTTGATCGCCGAAATCTACTCTATTCGTCTAAAAGTTCACATAGACCGCTCGCCATCAGTGCGCACGTAAAAGTGGGATGCATGTTGCTACGGTGACTCGAGCACACATCTGGTCGTTCGCGTTGTGTAACTACTACACCTTAGATCTCCGACCGTGTCATGTCTTTACTTTCAAGTTCCGGTCATAGTTATTGTGCACCTCCTCTTCGTCCCCCCCAACTGCCGTAACTCTAACATATCTGTGCTGGTAGGAAACGACCAGCCAACAGCCATCCGAGTTCGGTTCAAACGCTGACGATCAATCTTCGGGTCAACGCAGACTAAGGTCATCCACCTATGGAACTATACGTTGCAATACTGAGTATGGCATTCCTAGCGACCCCGACATAACAGGACGTGTGAATAATTCATTCAACGCGGTACCGTCAATTAGGGTATTATATAAACATACAACAAGCCTCAAGTTTTCAGACCTCTGGTAAAATGCACCTACTCCTGGACTGGTGCAACTGATAAGCAACGCGCCTCATTGAATGGACGCTATCGAAAGCCATACCCAATGGTGGACACGTGACTGGCCTGGCCATAGTGTTGTTGAGTTATCCAGGCTTGGAGGGAAATACCGTAGATCAGACTTGTCATGCTGTAGAAGTAGGAGTTGATGTGATATGATGGCAAACAAGCAGTCGCAGTTGGACAAGTACGAACGCGTCGTAACTCAATCGCCAACACAAAAATACGCGAAAGGTCTCTGGGGCCAGTTTGCGAAATTTGGGAAAAGCTTTAATTGCCAAAGCACCCGAGAAATTCTCAATCCATGACGTCGGTCCACAGTGAAGAAAAGAGGGTATTTATCTTGCTGGAGGTGGACTGTTCCAGTGAGAGTGATGTGAATTTCAGTTCTAAAATTCCTACAACCACCTACAAATATAATCATTGAAGGGTTATCCAGGCTCACCTGATGCTTGTTTTCCGGCTCACAATGGTGCGAGTCCAGCCCTCTCATTTGTACGTCTGCTCGACATCGGGCCCAAAAGCGAAGTTCTGGTTTGAAAGACTTAGTTCTTTTGACATTCCGCACTCTTCACAGCGGTATGCAAACAAGTTTGTTTTTGTGCTTCTCCAAAAAACCGTCTGACCTATGTTTGAGTTTTTCTCAAGCCATAATATAATGTCGATTCGCGTTATACAGTATGAGCAATTGTCAATTTCTGTTACCCTCGGATTGTCAGTTTTTGATGCAGCAATGAATGTACTCAATGACTGGCCCGCCTGTATGGAAGCTATATGACATTTCTAATGATTGAATTGTTTGCCGAGTTTGGCAATTTCGTTGAGAACGTTTCAGCAGCAGTCGAGGTCACGTCATCAGTGCGTTATGGCATCGGTGTGCAGGTGTTGAGGATTGTGGTGCCCATGTGTATATAGGTTCCGCTAACCAGGGGTTGGTCTTTGTTTATGATTGTCCGTTTAGAGGGACCATCCAGTTGTTTGGTTGATTGACCCGTGTTGTCATTTGTCGGCCTCCAGTTAACCTTTGAGGTGGGCCTGTTTCTACGTCGAGTTGACTGTTTCAGATTGCTCGTTTTGCTATACACAATGCCACACGTAAGCTTGATGGTTTCAGGGTTTCCAGACACGACTGAATTAAGCACCTTGCGAAAGACCGTGACCCATTACAATTACCGTGTTTTGTCCGTATATCAACATGTAATCTGAGCGATTTCATTCTACTGAATTGCTGATTGCGACTTGCGACGTGAAACATCGTTTGCCCACCAATAGAGATAGCTTTGAAGGGTCTGACTGGATGTGACCTCTCTAGCAGGGATAACTGTAAGACTACTTATGAACTCCGTGTCGATTTAGAACCTTGGTTGAACTACGTTCCAACTTTCATGGTCGGGTGGTGTACATCTTTCTTTTACCTTTTTAGGTCGTTATCTCCAAATGATGCGCTTGTTACAACCGATTGCTGCTGAAGTAATGCACTGCATTTGCCAAGTCTTCGATTACTATTTGTACTCTGTAAGTTTTCCTAGTTTATTTTGTCTTCCGACAGCTTTAACACTAGTTCACCAGCCGGCTAAGGAATGCACCTTCTGATCAGTGTTTTCTAAGTGCCCATCGGTAGCACGGCAAGAAAACGAAAAAAAGCATTCTTCCCACGAAGGATTGGCGCATTATGTAGGTCATTGCTTCCCAGTAGGCATAAGTTGTGTATTTTTCCGAGACAGATCAAAAAGCGTGAAGATCCATTAACCTACTGGCTTCAAGCAAGGCTTACAAGAGCACGACACGGCTTTATAACGAGGACGCACCTCGTTGGCTGCTGTGAACTGGCTGGAGCCTTGTTTACAGTTGTGTTTTGTCCTCATGCCATACCGCACGCAGCTTCCAGATGAGTTGAACCTGATTATTAGAGGTTCGCATGCGTCACAAACGGATCGTAGTTGTATCCAGTGCATAAATTTCGGTTGTAAACTCCATGCTAATGTGAGTAGCTAATAGACGTGTTATAGTGCACCAAAATGTTTTATGCCTGAGACTTCGGTTGTCGGCAGGAGGCACTGATTTGAATCCTAATTGGTTAGTGTTCCGACCAACCAGAGACCTGCACTTGCTCTGCAGCTGGTCCACCTAATGTCATCCGGTCTAGCTGACAGGGAGTTTGTCTTTGTCTCTTGACACTCGGCAATAAGTTACAATTTGCTCTTTAATTACAAATAAAGTTATCTGTGGTGGTAGTCCACTGTCTTCTTGAGCCTTACTTTCCTCTTTCACAGATTTTTTCCTTCTTTGGGCCGATCCAAGTGAGTCCTGTTCCAATTTGGCTGTCTCCTCAAGCTCTCTGTTTCATTTATTAAGAATTAAATTTCATACGCCTTTCTGGTAAATGACCACGAGCTTTACCGTGGTTAAGGTTTCCATGGCAAACTTAAACCTCCTCGACCACTTTCGCGTATAAAAATAGCTAATCTCTTGCTGATGCTGACACAGGACTGATGACAATGCCAACGGTTTTGTCTCATGTACCTTTCTACTAGATTCTGCTATATGGCTTTCGGTCGTTATTCCTGTGTTAAACGTTTACTCGATTTTAAGAGAACTGAAATTGATCTTTCAGACAGTATTAAAGCACTGTGGCCGGTTGGTTGCTTCATCCGGCCCGCTGCTACTTGATGTCATAATTGACACCATTTCCTGATTGCACAAAATTTAATACCTTACGAATAAAACTCTATCGGCTTTAAACGTAGAGCCATCTGAGGGGAAAGAGTTTGGAATAAATTTTGAGACAAGGGATTTGTTGTATCTGCTGATTCGCCAATCTGTTGTGTCTGACTGTTGACCCGGCTCCAGTGCCAGTGCCGGAGAAAGTACTCACAGAAGGGAACACAACAGCTATATTTTGAACAAGCGAGTGAGTGCACGCAAGTGCCAAAATACCACGGCATCAAACTATTTATTGGAGGGACACTGTCTGAACTTGGTCCAGCGCTGACGCACGCGGTCTCTCCTTGGTACGAGGCTGTGACGCACTGCATATTGCGGGGGGCGTTATCTGACCTTGATCAACGCTGACTCGCGCTGTCTGGGTTTGATACAAGGCTGTGACGCGCTGCATATTGAGGGGCGTTGTCTGTCTGGTCAGTATCTAGCGGAGCTTAGGGTCTCAGTAGGTTTTGGGTATTCAGTGGTTGCTTTCAGGAATCTGACTTTCCTTATAGGACTATCAATTGATCCGTAGGTTAGGATTTCCACGAAACAGAAGCTAATTGTTTGAACTATTTCTGATTGTGTATGCATCAAGAGGTTTTGACCCAAGACCAAGGAATTTGCTCCACAAGCGAATCCTGTCTCACATCTACTCTCTGTTTTGCGTGTGTTTTGTTCAAACACAACGCGGTTGAGCGTCAATAAATTGTTTTAAATCTGCTGTGACAATAGGGGGTTTGAGGCTTCGTTTTGAAGCGTGATCCTTCCGGCCTACATCCTCATGCAGACAGCAGGAAAGACGGTTACAAATACCTTGTATGGCTATTCTGGTAATTGGAAGACCACTATCGTTTTGATGTGGGTGTCGAATATTTTTCTGCGGAAGAACAATTCTAGAGGGATAATCGGAGAATGTCTCTTTAAAAAAGCGCTAGGAAGCTTGGAAGACTACTAAATTTTCTTTGGAATCAGCTGTGCTGTCACTGTTAACGGAGGAGGGAAAATGCCTTGGCTGAGAAAACACGCGATCTGACAGATTAAAAGTCATTTGTAAAATACTAGCCTACCCAGTCATGTGTTTGTATTCTACATCGCACGTCAGCAAACGCTCTGGCAAGAATATTTAGACATCCTCTATTGTAAATCTGATATTTTTCACCCGATCTCGTACGTTCCGTCATCCTAGTTTGAGGTCTCTTCAGTTTATTTTCGTTGTCACGAGCCCTATCATACAAATATGGCTCGATTCTTCCACGATTTTTTGAATTTCAAACCAAAATTGATTCCTCACGCTGTTTACAAATGGTTGTATTGATACACGCATGTGCATTTTGGTGCTTGATCAGCAGAGAACTTTTGGGTTAATTTTACCACTTTGTTAAGGTGAAGGAAAACTTCAATAAAGTGACGATGGACTGTGACGGTCGCTCTGTGGGGGGTGTGTGTGATGTGATTGCTGTTGTAATCAGGGGCACGTGCATAATTTCAAACATCCTACAACTAGCGAATATACACTCGTCTGCAAACTAATTTGGTTCTTTCGAGAGACTCACCTGGAACCCAGCTGAATCTCTCGTTTATGATGTTCTCAGGCAACTGAATGTGCTGCACCAGGCCTTCCCAAGAAGGGCGAAACCGGTAGTGGGCTGTCGATGGATTTTCAGCAACCTTATGAGTAGTACATTACACACCCTACAACTATGTTGACGCTGATTTCTCAAGGATAACTCCCGGTGTTTATATAGGAACTCGTCATTATAAGAGTCATGAAGGAAGTTCTATGGAACTAGATGTGATCGCTTTGGGGCTAGTTTGGATGCTAATTCCACCCGGCCCGTGAATACGAAGATTGGAAACCCCGAATCCGTGTTGACAATTTGACGTTTTAATGTGAACAGGAATGCATCCACTGGTTCCCGGTCTATTCACCGAGCCTGGCAATCGGGTTGCAGATGTTCGCCACGAATTTCGTAGACGTCGTCAGTACGTGGCTCGGTGCGGTCGGAGCTAACCACACTATGCAGCATTTCATACGCTGTTTATTTTAGTTATACGAACACAACCCAGCGCTTGGAAATCAAGGTTTCAAGAAACTTCATCAAACAAGGTCTTACACCGTTTGAGGAATGAGTCAGAGATGTAGACGACTCCCGGAGTTATTCATTCTACTGATAACGGTTGTAGTCCCTTTTTTTCTTGTACCTGCGATCTGTTTTAGTCTTTTTCGATTCATGGAAATTATAAGATCAGGGCACTTGTACACTTTTCATTCGCACTGCAACCTTGATATAGCCTTCGATGTATTTTTTCCGTCAAAGAGGGAGAATAGTGTACATTTTTAGCTGAACACGCGCTGTATAACGTAGCTTTACAGGTGGTATGCATATGACACTGTTGTTCGTTTCAGTCATTGGATTCTGTGGAAATACCTGATCGTCTTCGCCTGACACTCAAGCGCATCAACGAACGGTTGATTGCCCCTGAGGATCATCCTGCTGTCATAAAAGGTGTAAGTGTGATTTATTACAATGTTTAGGTTCAACAATTATCACACCTATTATTCCATTTAATAGCAACTAGGCGATTGGCGTACTCATCACAGTGATGAAACTGTTAACTCTGATGCTCCGACTTCATCCATACCCGTTTCACCAAATCGTTGAACAGAATTTCACCCGTAATCGTGTGCACTGCTCTTCTTCTCCAGTCTTCCACCACATCTGCAAGTTCTCTGAACGCTCGCAGTAAATTGACGACCATACCAGCTCAGCCCTACGACCCTGTTTCGGAGGTATCTTTGTTCGACAGCGAGTCTTCAAATTGGTTCTAACCATTCGTTATAACGTTCTCCATCTGGATGTCATAATTCTAGTCCACTTACCAATCGTTGTTTACCTATATGCTCACCTCTAATCGTCTCGTGGATTGTGTAATGATGTCAGCAGAACTTTGAGTGTGGGGGACATAGCCTGACCCAAGTTCCGGTTGATTCAGTATCCGATTATTCGCAACTAGCGCGTGACTAGTTGCATCTTATCTGTAAACCTTCCCGAAGTACCCTTAAACTAAACTCCGGAGTCAATCAACACCCGAATCACTTTGCATTTCATCGCGTCATCTTGGAGTGTTTCGGAACACCTTCCATGACTCATCGCCCTCAAACATATTCGCGAGTCCGACCAGAGGAACCTTCCATAGCCTTAGTACAGTCCATGATTTGCATCTTCAACATGTTCAGCACGAAGAGCTCCAAAAACCTCGATGCCTGATCGTGGGTCAAGCTCGCGAACAGTCCTCTGTTATCGTACCCAGCTGTTTTACTGTTGAAATCAAAATCAAAGGGGTTCACGGTTGACCCTTGCTTGTACAGCTCAGATAATCACCGGGTTTTATGACCGACTAGCTCTGCATGGGTTTCAGTGTAAGCGGATTAAGGTAAACACATACTCATAACTTAAGTAGCAGTAAGTAATCGGTTACTATAGCCACTGATATCCTGGGGAAAACTCCTGAAATGTGTGGATACTGAGTATTCCAGATAATTCAGCTTACCTAGTTCGATCTATCCTGTATGTTTCCAAAGAGCTCTCGACAGAAGTGTACGAGTGATATATCATTATTCCTTTATGATGAACAATCCAGAACCTTGAAGCAATAGCAAAACGACCATGCAAGATGCAGAATGTTCCACTAGGTTGTTCTGTCTCACCAGATGTGTTGCATGAAATTATGGCAGGGATTAACAAACGCGTCGATCAAACATACTTTATAGTATCTTTTATCAGACCAAGTCGGGGGAATTGAAAGGCACTTCACCATAGGTTTGTGCGTGCAGTTATGTTTACACACCAATGTAACGCTGACAATGAAAACCAGGTCAGCATCAGATGTCCTCTCGCTTCATTCACTCCTATAGCGAATGCATCTCAGTTTGTCGAAAAATATATGGGAGATATCATCCCTCCCCCTCCCACACATGGACCCAAGATGCCATGGTATTATCCGGTGTGTGGTTTCTTTTGGGGGTAGGGTCTCATTAACTCTATTCTCTTTAAATACTTTGTAAAGAGGTTAGTGACGTGTCTACCTGCACTGATTTGGTCAATGATTTTACCGTGTATGACGCTTTTACCGACCCAAATCCACATTCTATTTGTGTCCGCTAAAATCAGACTTATTGTATATATCTCCCCGAGTTTCCGATCTTCTTATTCACTGATCATCTTACGGTTCTCGTGATATATCTGTCTTGAGTTCCCGCTAACCCTTGGCTTCAATACCAGCAGCCTTAAAAATCCTAGTTGTGATTTTCACTCAGAATTCTCTCATCCTAACAACCTCTTTATAACTTCACTATTTGAAGGATGTAGTCACCTAACAGCCATTTTAATGTTCCCCTCTTTAAAGGATCGCTTTCCGTTGCCCGTGCATGAGCCTATGCACGTATTCAATTCGGTAAATCGGTTGATGGAAACTATGATGGATCCTGCAGCGTCTCCGAACATTGTTGCATTGTGCAGCAGTTACTTGCAGGCACATTTTGTCGGTGTGGAATCTGTGATATTTTTGTCTGACATCTTCGAATCGGTATGTTTTTGTTTGCTGTCTGTCTTTTCCCCAGTTTATTTATCTTTTTTAACTGCTGTCATGAGCACAGACGCCGGAGTATTGTATCTTATTAAGCTGCCTTTACCCTAAATCCGAATGCACTACATAGAGCGCAGAGATTCAAACAGGCACGACTGCTTGTGCTACCTTGGCTTGTTGTTCACGCTCATTTCACCTCGCCAATATGTCCTAGTGTATGTTGTCCTCAGGACTTTACGTAGATGAAAATCTTCCTTCAGCATGGTCAACATTGATTATACTTACTGATTTGTAGTCCGATTTTGGCCGCGCCAGATGATGTGACAGTTTGTGAGCGAGCTCTACCTTCCTCGAAGCGTTTCCTGCTCGTTTCTGCAGTCGTGTAAAGATGTACGGTCTGATTTCGCCAGAGGACACCACATCTGGCGGGTTCAGGCAATGCGTTTCCCCTCTCCCCTCCTGTCTAACTTTAATATGACCACAGGGCTATCCATTCTAGTTGATGACGCCTCCGAGGATGGACTGTTCTTAGATTTCTTCTGGTGACAGTGGGTGAGCCATTCAGCTATTCTTATATCGAGCCGTACAGAAACGCAAACAGGGGCAGTAAGGGGAAATGTCAGTGGCTGAGTGTCTAAATCAATAGCCATCACTGAGTAGCCTAACTAAGCTCAGAGCATGATTTGGTATGTGCTTCACACCTGCATCTTACGAAGTGCTACAACACTTTCTTGTAGTGGAAATCTGTTATATCTGCTGATTCGTCAATCTGTGGTATCTGCTGCTGACCCGCTCCAGTGCCTAGTTTCCGAAAAAAGAATCACAGAAGGGAACACAACCACTGTATTCCGAACAAGCGAGTGCGAGGGCATGAGTGCGTTCGAGTGCGAATGTACAACATTCTCAAGCTATTTATTGGAAGGACATTGTCTGAACTTGGTCCAATGCCGACTGACGCGGTCTGCCTTTGGTACGAGGCTGTGACGCGCTACATATTGAGGGGGTGTTTTCTGTTTGGTCAACATCTAGCGGAGCTGAGAGTCTCGGTAGATTTCGGGCATTCAGTGGTTGCTTTGAGGAAGCTAGCCTCCCTGATAAAATCCTTCAAGAGGCAGCACCATCGAGGATACGGTTTTTGAGGCATGGAACTATCTCCACTGTGACCCACCATCAAGCGAACATCCATCGCGAACTGAACAGGAAGCACTGTTTGTTTCTGCAACTGGCTGATTCATTCCCTGAAAGGAGACATGAAATCCATGTGCCACTGGACCGGATTTCCTAGTTGATTACCCCTCCATTGAATTAGCACCCTAAACATATTTGATACACCTACCCGTTATATTGATGAAATCCTTTTGACGAGACCTGAGTTGACATAGCCGATTGTGTAGCCCCGGACACGTACGCAGTACCATACATTGGAACACCTCACAGATGGAATGTCGATTAAAGACGAGACAACTGAAGTATAACATGAAGCAATGCACGATAACTCAGTGGTCTTGGAGTCTCATATAATTATGGTTGTGTTCCTTGCTGTACGCGAGTATGTCTTCATAATAACTTATCATGCTCACTGGTTCAGCTGAATGAAAAAAACGTTAGGTTTTTATGCTAGTACGTGATGACCACCAAATAGACAAGTGTACCGAGCATCAGGAGCGTTTACTTTGAACGAGGTGGAAAATCCAACCACACTTCAAAAAAGTGTTGAAAACCATTCCAATATACAAGAAATTTTATTACCACGGCACCGAAAGCATGCGATACCGTTATTTCAGGCCACCCTCCCACGAGGAAACATCCTCTTCGGAGAAAAAATTGGAGATCCTTCAGTGTTTCCCGGAGAGGTGGATTACTACACATAATTAGTTGACATCAAACCTGATTCTAAAGCCTACAGATAAATGTATCGATGTAAGCTGATCAATTCGGTCAACAGTTGAGTTAGTCAGGTCGATCACACTAAGGTACTCTGAGCCGGTGCGCCTTATGCGCAGCATCCCATCTCCCATTCTTGTCACCGATGGGCATAACTGTGACGTCCAGAACCACCGTACAAATTACGTGCGGTTTACTATAGAGGAAAATGTTGGTAGCTCAGGTAGTGTAGATGGTCGTTGGCTTGTTCGTTGAGCTAGGCAATTTAATTGCAAACGTTTCATCACCAATCAAGGTGCGTTATTGGGGAGCGTAGTGATGCATAGCGGTGGGTTAGTAACCCAATCAAATCGCCCAGCTCAGCGAATAAGACCATAAATTCTTCTCATTCGCTACAGCTGTTCAGTGAGGCTTCGACTCAGTAATCCCGTTTAAGCCCATCGTGTTTCACATATGCCGTAACAAAACTTCACAATAATACGGTCTTTGATGCACAGTACGGCCCGAATTACATCTCTTAAAACTGGAGTGATTTCCGTCATCGAATGACCAGAATCTTTCAATGGTCGGTCATGCGATTCGTCCAAATCCGTAGGGTATTTTGTTTGTTCCTTTTCGGAAGCCTAGTGAGGTTGAGCAGTTATAACAATGAATTATTTTGCAAAAGTGATTCTCCCTTAGGGTACTAGCTCCATCGAAGAGCGCGGTGTTACTTTTTCCGATTTCTGACTGCAGAATCCCACTCACAGAAAGCACCCTTCACGAATGAATGCATGACGTAAAACTGGTATATGCAAATAACGCTTATTATACGTCGTTATGGTCACCCAAGCTAACCAAACATGACCGATACCCAAACAAAGCAACTTCATTACCAGATATGCACAAGAACAGCTGCAGGGCCTGCGACAGGTCTCATTCATCAATGGGCACCAAAAGGAGAGGCTACCTGTATACGAGGCTGTTGTTTGTTCCCATGAGTTGAGATCAAGCAGGTTTGTACTAGACTTGTTTCAACCGCATCTAACCAGGAAAATACAGCGATAAGTTAGAAGACAAGGTCATTTGGAGAACAGATATTCAGGACAGTTCCTGTGTATACTAGAAGATATAATGAAATCCACCATTGAAAACCTGAAGGGAAGTCGTTGTCTTCATTAAAGCCAGAATATCCGGTTTTTGTTTGTACGATGCCTTTGTAGTTTACCATCTGTCCGGATCCTCTGCAACGGCTAGAAAAACTTTCTTGCAGTCAATGGGTGAAAATTACAACAGAGTTCAATAATTGTCTGAACACACTGCGGGGGCGAACTCGATCCATCCCATATCTCATTTTCTTGGTGAAACACATAGAGTGCAGGCAGCAACTGGAGTTCAGTATGGTGAAAATCGATAGTCAGCTGATGTGATACAGGTCGGTTATGTGAGACTGACAAATGAAGACCGGATCACGCCAACAGCTTCAGTTCGCAGCTATACATTGTATCCTCCCCGGCTAAGCATATTTACGGTCATGTAGATTCTGAATTGAAAAGCCGATGACAACACCCATATTTTCCCATTCTCACTATGTCAATCACAGATTCAATAGGTTGCATGCGGTTTTTTCACGTGTCATCCACCAATGAAAACCATTTTGTGGCTTTCAGGTGACTGGTCTTGACACTGAGCGTAACATTTCAACGCTTAACTTTCTGCTTATAGATGTTACTTCCCCACTTGTCCACCTGTCTTCCGGAACGCAAACGTGGTCTCACTTCGGTCTTTCGCGAACAAGCCCTCACAGCTGCGCGGCAGTTAAGAGAGCCTTGCGCAATGCAAATTGCCCCTCAACTGGTCAATTTATTATTGACGTCAAAGTGAGTCACTTTTGCAGCACTTCCCAGAAAATCCTGTTGCTCTACCGCGGTACATTTCTCGTATCGTATAATTACCAGTTTGGTCTCAAAAACAGGTCGGCTCTTGTCCTTAGTCACATTTTCCTTTGAAACTTGGAATCGATACCTAAATTTGCATGCCGATAGCCTGGACACACCTAGGATTGTCGCTGACGAACCAACATGCCCTTTCGAATCGTACACATCACGAAGTCTGCAAGCAATCAAAACCCTGATTTCGTATGTTTACACCCGCTTGTTGATGAAACTTCTGAACTGATACTGCAGTCAACTTCCACAGGTGCCCTCATTTTCTGCAACAAGCGACTTTCGAAGCTACATGTTTTTATCTGCAATGGTTTATGTCACGAGGACTACTTACCAACAAACCCCCTATAGGTCATTCATTGATGTTTCTCCTGTATGCGTTCTATTCCTTTATTGTGGTGAGCTGCCAAAAATGATATCAAAATTTGATTCGGACTAGGGGTCCAGAGTTTTTCCACCGCACTGTATATCAGTTCAGATTGCGCACAAACTTTTGCGCCCTAATTATGTTTATTCAATCTGTCTTTGATTTCGAATTGCAGCTCAACCTCCGGTGTGTCATCAGATGCAGTGTCTCCGTCTAATATCAGTGGAACTATTGCCTCCAGTTTCAGCAGGATCTGGTCCGGGAACTCAACGGAAAAAGACTCGGTACCGCAACGCACCAACCGTCTGGTGTCCAGTGCACGGAACGAGCTAACTAATGACACGAACTTCCTAACCAGTTGTATAAGTTCCATGTTGTGGACTCACAAAGATGTAGCGACAACGCCAAGTTCGTATGTGCACCAGTTGCACACTTCTGTACTGTCTCCATTTGGTCGTATTATGCAAGCACTTGCCCAGAGACTCGGTCTCTGTGATGCCTCCAAACTGGCCATGTGGAATGCTTTTCTCACATGTGTTGGAAATATGCTGTTGAGCGCCTATGGCCAAGTCCAGTTATGTTCTGAGGAAGGTCGTGGTCAAATGTTACTCGACGTACAGTCAATTTCCGCGTTTGCCGAAATGGAGAGCAAGATTCGGTGAGTTGGCCCTTTTAGGGAGTTATTGGTTTTTCAAAATTTATTTCGCGTTGAGCGAGGTCGTTTCAACCGAAGTCAGATGTGCTTACGCACATCAAGTGGAGACAACCATACAGAGCACCTAGCCACTCCGCGGATGAGTATCATATGAAGCGCAAACGGGAATGCACAGCTGCGATTGTATACCGGAGAGAGTGAAAAAATCTTATTAAGGTGAATTTGTTCACAGCTAAAATACTCCCGAACGATTATGGTGCACGAGTAGACGTTCACTCCTTCGTTTCTGTGCGTATAAGTCCTCATGGTAACTACATGAAAACCCGTACATATATAATTAGGCATGAGAACACGGTTCACTGGTAGCTGCTCTCAGGTTGTGCTGTGACCTGAGTGTGTGGACCAGATTGTGTTCGATTGTCTCTGGGTTGCAACGCGTTATTACGCTGCACCTACCTTTGTTGCTTCTGTTAAAGTGAGGCCTGGCAAGAGAAGCTCACACCATACTACCTCGCTTCCTGAGGGTTAGTGATCCTGTAACCAGTTGGTCATTCCCAAAGCTAGAGAAAGGCCTCATGTGATCGGGTCTTTCTAGAAATGTGATCTGCACGCCACAATAGTCATACTTCAGTATACCACTCCGATGGGCCGGCTATAACAATGAGGGAAGCCAATGTGTCTCCAACTTTGGCAATACTCGGCGGTGGGCTCTGAGGACAGGCGCGCCAGATGACTTTTGTTTAACGAACCCGCCGCCTTGCGAACCGCACTTGGAAAACACGCACCGACACAAGTGCCAATTTGTGCTAGGGTCATAAGCTGTACAGCACCTCAAAAACTTGTTACTATCTTTCATGCAGATCAGTCAAATCAACCGACTTTTCAAGAAATAACTTTCTGCTGTATCGGAAAGGCTCGGTAAACAGTCGGTAGTTTTTAAATGGCCAACGTTTTGATTTCGACACAAAAGCTTCACTTGTGGTATTCGAATGACCTTGTTATGTCACGACGCAAACCTGCCATACTTGGCGGCAGATCCGATGGTATATTGAGAGGCCGACAGCTGGTGGCGGAACCCAGTAGTAAAAGCGCATATCTATCAGCGTTCGTCGCACCGCTGTTAAACGTGTGCTACCTGTCGTTCGATGATTTTGCTCGCCATGTGCATACAGTATGGTCCTGCAATAAATTTCTCAGAATACTGAGGATCTTTAGCGTTGTACATTTGCAACAAGTTACACTTCTCATCAGCGTTGTGACATAGACCCCTTCATTTTCCCCACGATGAGCAGAAATCGCTTCATGTGTGACTTGTGTGTTCGGTGTTCATGGACAGAATGATGTCGTTCCTTCATAACCGCATTCTCTGACTACGTATTCTTGACCTGTGTCGTCATATGATCGCTGAATTATTCCCTTAATATGTTCAGCTCGTTCCCCAATTTGGATCGTGTAATCGAATACATCCAGGCATTCTACGTACCAGTACACGAATGGGAACACTGGTTGACGCACACTGGTACGAAGTACTCGCGTGCTCAGCTCACTGGCCTTGCTCACTGTCTCGCTCGTGGGGATCGGAGGCAACGACAGCGTCTTTTGAATACAATCAATCAAATTTACGGATCCTCCGGTATACAAGCCAGTACAGCCATTCCAAATATAAGCACCTAACATTCCGTTCCGTTGTTCGTTCATTTTTGTAAACACGCAATGATCACTGTGATCCCGCTATTTTACACAATCGAGCACTCCGTTTTTTTTGACTTTGACTATTGACGAAAAAAAGTGTTTGTTGTAAATGGTCTCTTTTTGACAGATTTCTACAACCACCGTATACAGGTACACCCAAACATGTAATGGACAATGAAAGTTTCTGGTAGGTTGGACAGGCAAGGAATAGGCATTGACATGTACAAGCACTGTACAAACAGTGGTAGGAAAACAATTAGCATCAACTCGAATTTGTCGCGGCTGACTGAAATTTGAGCATCTCAATTCGAAAGGCTGACGGATTGTTCCATAACTGAGCTGCCTGACCGTTCAATGGACTGTCATTGTTTGGTTCTGAGACGTACAAATGGCGGGAATCAATGTCGTTTTACAGCAGACCGGCTAGGATAGCTTAGTTTTACACCACACAACAAGACTATGCGATTGATGGTACTCTTCACAAGACATGACAGAACAAGCTTTAGTCAGTAGCCCATTACTACTATTGGGAAATGATCCCAAAACAGACTGAAATATTCTTCGGAAAAAAATGGGGTGCAAGCATTAAAAAGTGGACAGTGGGAACAGGGTAAGTGATAAGATCAACTCATGGGACTCTCCGTTCAGGAGATCTCAGAATGGTGTATTGGGACTACCTCAAAACCTCTGCCCTTTCAATAGTGGGTGTTTGAACGGATGCTTCTCAGGTCAGAAATTTGTACCCATATATACTAAATGCGCCAGGAGTGCAAGCTTTTCAGTCCACTACCGTGGGTCCTGCGGATGAAAATCAGTCCTTAGCGAGGTCTACACAGATGCCAGTGTGCTCCAGTATTCTTTCCATCTCCACGTGGTAAAGACGAATAACAATCGATCGGACGTGTGGATGAGTCAGAGTCCAAGATATAAATGAGTATTACTAGGCTTCCGAGTTAGATCGAACAGGGCGAATGATCCAACACGTTTGGATAAATATAACCGAAGATGATCATAGCAAATTGTACAGTATCTGATAGTGAAATGTCTACACCCCTAATCGTAACTAGTTAGATCAATGTCATCCCACCTGCCAGCAGACTCCGAATTGAAAGAAGTAGGTTTTCAACTGTGAGCAAGGGTGACCATTTCTCCTTTAGAATATCCAGACAAATGGCGCCTTGATGATCCACGTTCGGATGATAACATCTTGAGACGAAGCGCACAGTCGGGGGACTGTAAGGATAGTTCGGGCCGAATTCCAAAGAAAGCTTGTAGCGCTGTCCCTCATAAACCTACAAAGCACGGGAGCAAACAATTCGATAGCAAAATTCGTGTATGCATCCATGATTAATAAGAAACAGCATTCAAGAGCCCTCAAGGCGACATTATGTTGATCACGATAATCTTATACGTCTGTTTCGACCAGCAACCTAGGGTTATCCAGTTAGTCTTGTATGTCAGCACAATGAACATATCTACGGATACCCAGCAACGATACCGTCAAAAGAAAATAAGCCCCTTGGTTCCCCCCCCCCCGGACTTTTACTGAATGCAAATTGAGAATGGTTAACATGAAAAGAGTTAACCCGGCCTAAGAGAAACTATCAACCAGCTGGGAATGGAATCAGATGGTCGATGCACAGAATGGACCAATATGGCACAAACAACTATAGTAATCGATGAGCATGCGCACATCTAGGAAGGCGTTGACCACCACGGTCGACCTTGAACGTACGCACCTATGACTATAAACTAAGGGTTTTTCACCTTAGATATCGCTTTGTGTAAAACATAGACGTTGCACCAGATCTGCAGATTAGTAGATCGTTTTTTGAAGGATCGCGGTGTAACTGACCTTCACACATGATGGATTGCTGGAATTTGGTCAAATTTTCCATGGTGGGCAACTTATGTTGTCTGCGGAGCTTCATCAGAAATCAAATGAATTTATGAAATGTACATGTAGGTACAACACACATGACGAAGCATATTGATTTTGACGAGGTACCTTTGACACAAGGTTAACATGTGTTGATCATTTTCAACTCCATATAAAACAGCTCCATTTTCAGAACCATTTAGCAACAAAGCGGACTCCACTGAATAGTTAATTTTGTGAACATAACAGGCGTCATAGACAAATTAGGAGTGCCGTACTGAATTCTTTTGGATCACGATCCATCAACGTTCTACCTTTGGTTAATTGTACATGGCTTAGCGACAACCAAGGATTTGCTGGTTGCGCCCACCGGTAGGGGGCGTAATGTCATTGGTTCCATCTCCCCGTCCTCGGTGAACGAAACCGTAGCGACGGGAACCACTATATACCGACGCACAATTTACCTTGGCTGGCTGACGGAAAACGCTATTAATCTACCGTCCCAATGAGAGGAGTCAGTAATTCGTCCAAATCGATAACCGAAATAGAGTATTGTCTATTAAAAAACGACTATCAATTACTTCTTAGCGTAACCAAACTGCATTTGGGGCTTTCAGAGGGAGCCTAAAATGATATCCCAGTTTATTACTGAAGTGTGCTGTGCTCCGACCGATAATTTCCTCTACAACTGCAATCGACCCGGTTGTCTGACCCATGCTACTTGCAAACGCTTGCATGGAACTTTTCTGCCCGTCGGTGCCATGGAGAAAGCTAATAGTTCGCTGTCATGTTCTGACCGCCAATTAAGGCCACCGATAACTTTCGATTATTCGGACGACGATCCTGTATTGGTTTCGTGCGCACTGAACACTAAATGCGTGCTCGCTGGTTCCGGCCCCATTGGTGTGCCCTAAGACGGTCGAATGCATTGTGTTCATGACCGCCCTACCCACTGTCGTTGCGCCCGAGGAAAGCGGAATTTAGCTAGCGATTTGCACTTGCCTGTTATATGCCTGAGAAAGTGACGTCGATTGATTTTCATACAACAGGTGCGTGTTTGTGCATATTCGTATGAAAATGCGACGTGTAGACTGGGTGGGCGGAAGCAGTGAAGTGCTAAGGTTTCGAAGACCTGGCTGAGTCATAGGACTAAACCCGGAATAATTGACCATACTGGACATTCCTGGATATCACAAAGTCCCACTGATACACTCCACGATAGGTGCTTCCGAACAGAGGATTCACGACTTTCCGCCAACACACACCAAATGTGCGCGTCGGAAAATTTCCCTCACGGCCTATTTCACCCTCAGTAAGATAAGATGATTGTTCAGCTGTAACACGCTTTCGGTGCCTAACTTCTATGCCACCCGAAGGAAGCATGGGGGCTGGGATACTGCCAGGTTGCCCAAGACTGGACAGGGGAAGTCGAGAGGCAGAGTTAGGGTTCGAACCACGGACCTTCCGGTCAGTAAATTCGCGCTATAACCACTCAGCCATCTCGCCTCCCTGAGCCATCTCACCCTTAGTATCTCGTTTCGAACGAGTTCTTCCTTACGAACATTCCAGACATGTATCGCAAAGACGAAGTGCGCATTGTATGAAACTTCAAGCAATCCACGTGGTGTTTGCTGGAAGCAGTCTGTCAGATTTATGAAGAACTGTGGGGTCACAAATTCATGAGAATTCTTTAGCCCCAACAGGCGACTGACGTGTTCGCAGCACCCAAGTTATTCGCTCCAAAGCCACCGTCAATAAAATGAGCCTGTCGTCAATAAAACGTTTAGATCACCATCGCCCACCACCAGCACTGATTTTCTTTAAGACCATTCCGACTACGAAGTGGTAGCCGTAGGAACATCAACGACATCACACCAACACTGCCGAAGGGTGTTGATGTGTTCATTGCAGTAACTGGCTTGTGAAATTCTGACATCAAAGATATAGTACTGACAACGCCGTTGATAGACAAGAATTTCTTATGCCATTATACAAACAACTTGGCTCGTGACGGCCTTGGCCTGATGGACTACTAACGGCACGAATGTCTCATGACTCGTCACACAGTGATGCTGTAGAGTCGAAACGGAAAAAGTCATTCAACGAGCTCGAGATGACACAGCGGTTAAGGCGCGAGTTACTGACTGGGAGTTCATTGTTTCAATCCACACCTGGTTTATGAGTGCTCCTGAACAGCCTTGAAAGGCCTAGCAATAACTCGACCAGCGTACTTCCTTGGGGATGAATGACGGCTGTGCACTGAAACGACGAAACATGTGAATAACCCGATAGACAAAGAGAACAAGTCACACGTGAAATGGCCACGAGAAACCACAACATACGGCGTATCCAGCATTGGATATGGGCTGTTAAAATCTACAATTCGTATCACTAGAAGGCGTTCGTTCCTACTCGTGAGCCAGAAGCCTAGGTCAATAGCAATGCTGGTGGGATACCCAAAAGAACAAGGAGTCATTTGAACAGGAGAATGTATCACCTTGATTGAACAGTGGCAGAGGGTTATTGTCTCCGACAATAATAATAACAAGAATAATCAATAAGCGAGGGTGCATCAACCGCTGTGACTAGTATGGGGCAACTTGCGCAGAGAAATAGCGATGATCCGGAGCGCCTCTTTCGATTGAGAGTTTACTCGTCATTCTAACATACGTCGAGAAGCTTTCAGACTGCAGTTCTGCATTCGCGAGCCGTCATCCGTCGTACAGATAAAGACAACTGCGCAAAACCACTACTGGCGAGCAATGGATTACAACAGGTCCGGACACAAACTCTAAGCAAAAGGTTCGAGGACTACCGGCCGGGAAAATATACTTCAACAACCAGATACTAATAACAAGTCAGAAACGGTTTGACTGATGGCGCATTTGATAGCCCAACAAACTGCATGAATAGAGATTGTGCAGCAATTCGAGTGAGAAATAAATAGCATGTTTTGTGTCTGTTGTGGAGATGATTTTCAGCAAACTCCGATCTAGGTCAAAACACACTAAAAGCGTTAGGTTACCGACAGATTGTATAACAAAGAACCGCCCTCTTTGATCGAATGGATGATGATTTGGTCAGGATGAGCGTATACACCGATCCATAAACCACCCAGACCCAAAAATACAACATGTACAAATGAGCAATGGAGACGGAGTTGCTCCAAGGACTCCTATTCAACTAAGCCAACGGATGACGGTTTATTAATTAGACACCCGCGAATATCTCAGTAACTTACCGTTTCATCAGGGCCTTGAATGGAAGCAAGCCACCGAGTAAGGTTTTCACCGTCAGGAAATGCCGTTATGCCTTTGGGTGATGACACCTGAAAGTGTCCAAGAACACAAGCGAAAACATAGAGCAGGCTGTTTACTAAAAAACTAATGAAGGAACAACCCTAGCTCAGCAGCGACAGAGTCGAATTCAGAAAACCCGCTTGCCTGAGCCTTTAGTCAAGACATCAAGCAAGACACCCAGTGAACCGGCGACCCAATAAATGGCATGTTAAATGTGAGTGGCCGATCAAATGACTGTTGCTAGGGTGTCAGTGCTACAGGTGATCCAAAAATAATCCGAGGACTTACTTTACTGGGTCCAGTCCCTTCGAGGAAACAGAATATTGAACCGCCACTATAATAATGAATTAATTCACTGACCCGGAAAAACTACTGTTGGTAACACCATCCTAGTATTTAGTCTGAATTGTGTCTGTAGAAGAACTAATCATGTGACCGAATATGAGCAATGATGACGAATTAGGTACCTTTCTGAACAGGTTGCACAATGGAAGTTTTGTGCAACTAGCAAGCCATTGGGAAGCGAGTTGAATGACAGTAGTCTATTATTCTGGCCATCTGGAAGAATCGGGCCCAAGAGAACTAGACGTTTCAGAGGGGTTTGGTAAACAATCGGTGGATTTATTGCTGGACAACGTTTCGCTTCCGAGAAACGCAGAGGAATACCAGGCGTTAGTCAAAGATTCAGCAATGGCAGGGCATGCCCTAGACACGGGGCATAGGATAGATTTAGAAAATGTGGACATCCTGAGACGGGGTTTAAGATTCACACCACAGCGACTGGTGGCCGAGGCGGTGGAAATCGCCAAGAATCCCAGTGTGAATAGAATAGAGGGGGTAGAACTTGCAAACGTGTGGAGAGCGGTCTAAGATCAGCCGAGATGACACGAGGCGGTGTACAGTTATCAGCGAAATCGCCTGGGTCTAAAAGTACAAAATCCAAGTAGCGTTAGATCCAATTAACCAGCCCATCCCCAAACTAATTGTCCCAACACCCTTGGACGAACACAGGTGAACGAAATCTGTGAACGACCCCAAGAGGAATTTTCCATTAAGGTGTCCTAGACTGAAGAAGCAGGGACGAAAAAATCCGGGTTCATCATAAAGACGAACCCCCCCTAACCGATCTATCGTAAAGCTTAAAGCTTTTGTGTCAAAAGCGAAACGTTGCCCAGCAATAAATCCACCGATTGTTTACCAAACCCCTCTGAAACGATGACTTCCCAATCGGTCCCAAACATTTTCCAATTGATTGAGAACTAGACGTTATTCGAATAATGAGAATTTAAATGGAAGGCTAAACAAGCGCTGTGTTAAATAGCACATAGTCGTCCGGAAGGTAAGAAAACAGTTGTATAATCTTTTTGTCCTGGTACCTTCGTAAAACAGCAAGTACATTTTTGGTAGCGAATGGAAGTAAGACAGCGCATGGATGAATCCCTCCATCTCTGAGATGACAGCAGATCTGCGTTGAATTATATCTTGGTACCAGCTATTTGTTCGTGGATGCAGCAAAAAATGAACAACTAATTAAGTGGTTCAGCAGTGGCATGACGTCGGTGCACAGCCGTCGTGCAATTCGAAAGAAACACGAGGGTTGATATATTGCTATATTGCCCAAGCTCAGGCAAGAGCAAACGAATGACGGATATTCTGGACAGCACCTCCGCACCTTAACCGCCAAGATGTTTTCAATTCAGAGTGAATCGTCTAGGAAAATACTGATTGCATAGGCGCTATCTACGGCAGCTGGATGACCGACGGTATTACTGCTGAGCACTACTTCCAACTATTTTCATTACTCTACATGGCATGTAACTGGCCCGACTGAGCCAAATTCAGTTTGAGAAACGCGATTATACCTGTGTAAATTAGAACGCGCGCTGGTGTCATATTGAGAAAACGACACTGAAAATTTTCCTTGAGGTCTGTCGTTTTGACAGATGCATCAATCAATCTACAGATAAACCAACTTACCAGTAATTCCATCAATTCTTTCTGGAGTCTATAACAAATTTAATGTTTAAATAGAAGGTAACCAACCTTTTCTGCGCATCCACCATACCGAATTTTATCCCAGAACCTACATGGGAGCCAAGACAAGAGATAAGGTTACGATGGACAAGCTAACAGTGAACCGAAACCAGGTATTCGCAAACAGTTGTAGTTTTCCCAGGTATGACTGGTCTTTCAAAGGGGGATGGAAGAAGCTAAAGGAAATAAATGCTAGGGGCGAACGTCCAACTCATCATTGTAGTTACCATCAATCACAGTGATCTTCATCGACAGAAACACCAACATTCAAACGGCCGCTTTAGTGCATTTGGACTTGTCTAACTCTTGCTGGTATCTGAGCAGGCTGTTAGAGACCTAAACTTAGCAAAGTAAGGTTACTTATGAATCATGATCTCTACGATAAAAGCAGTCGTGTGTTAGGCATGTGCAATACATGGTCTAACCAATACAGCTTCTGGTGCTGGACACACTCCTCAGTGGGAGTCCCATAGGCACAACCGAACACTCGCTATCTAAGTGCGTCGTTACGAATTCACTAAAACTAACGCAGGCGAGTTGTGGTTCTTAGACAGCGGTTGACGAAAGCATGAAGACCTCTCAATTACACTTCTTGAATAGGCTAAGTCACACAGTCATACAACAAAACAACCCGTACTGTAGCCTGACACACACGTACCTTGAGATACATGGATATGCCGATTTGACGAATCGATGTCTCAAATTAGCAAACGCGATCTGAGCCTTGCAGATTCGTGCATTGACCTCACCTGTCACACTACAATCAGAACTAATACAACATCCGGGATACGTAAAACGCCCCACAACTTCGAGTCACTCACTACATTGTAAGTGGCATGTGCAGTGACTGCATGTCCACGAGCAGGACTTTACACTTTGTGGGTGCAAAGTGCATAAAGGATAGCTTTGGTCAGTTCATCCAAAAATACCTGCGCCTTCTAATCTTCCAAGACGAGAACGATATCGTCTGCATATTCCAGATCGATAAGGTTTTCGCCAGAGGCCATTTGAACACGGGGGTTTTAAAAACTTCCCGTTTGTCGTTCACGAAACTAAATCGGAATAAAGAAAGCGGGCACTCCTGACGGTCACCGCTTTGTGTAAGGAAGCTTTAAGAGAGCTATCCATAGTCTCTCATACGTCCGAAAGTGAGCATTACCTGTCTTCCAGTTTGAAATAGAGTACGGACGTTAAAAGCTCCTATGGAAAAAGAATTCAGTGGATTTAGAAAGGCGTTATTTTGTTCACTGTTAGTAGGCAGTGGGATGCTTGAGACAAATTGGTCAGACAACTGACGGTCAAATGATCCAGCAAAGTATGTATGCGTGTGGTGGGAAGGGGTTGGGGAAGGGCATCGGTAGACAGAATCGTGCGGGCATACAATACCTTCAGGTTGAGGCACCTCACCCTGAGTCCTTGACTCAAAAGAATGACCCACAAGGCAGTGGGAGGATGTAGGATTTTCTTTCGGGACCCATCTCGGAGCCGATGACTCAACAGTCTGACCTGCTCGGCTGCAGGTGGCTGGCCTAACCAAATGGCACAGGAAGTAAGGCAGTACTGCCTCGTTTCCGATGCGACTGCACACAGCAGGTGCCTTCTGAGCAGCACTAGACTCCCTGATTATAATTTTTTTTCGACCATACTGAATGATGCGCCGGAGTCACGGTCAATCATTGGGCGGTCGGGGTATGTGGTTTTTAGGGCCGACCTTTTACAACCCGTCTTTCCTCGGGAGAAGGCAGCATCGCTGCTTCCATGAATATGGACATGCTTGTAGTCTGTCTGTAGTCTGCCTTCACACTCCCATCGCAGAGGACAGTACTTCACCCCCAAACCACCTCGTAGTACGGGTCTCGCTGCTCTTAGTCTGACTGTTCCTTTCTGGCCTTCCTGGCATGAATGCACCTTGTGGAATGAAGTTCCAGCCGCGGGATATTTGAAGCACTCAAGCCCGACCACCAAGTCAAGATGGCAGCTTTAGGTTGAGTTACTGACACGCATCAAGTACATGGGTACTGCTTAAAAAAATCAAACCGTGGTGTTACCCAATCTATATACTGATATGCCGTTAGTCCACGACTTCCTCAGTCTACATAACAAAGTTGAAATCACTTTCAGTGGGACCAAGGTTCACTCACTCTCTGCGGCTTAACTGCTGCTGAGGGTGAAGCATATTTTTCCGCTAACCTCTCACCTGATTGCGAACCCATCGCCACGAAGTCACGGTACTCCAACCGTGACGAAGAACAGTCTACTCGCTCCAAAGTTAGCCGACCAATGGAAGAAGGTACAAACGAACCTTTGAGTTCTCCCTGGAGGGCCCAAACACTTCGCGAAAAATTCAACCCACAAGGGGAACAGTCTACTCGCTCCAAAGTTAGCCGACCAATGGAAGAAGGTACAAACGAACCTTTGAGTTCTCCCTGGAGGGCCCAAACACTTCGCGAAAAATTCAACCCACAAGGGGTATGGTACTACAGTACAGTCAAACCATTATTCGGTTCACACACCTAGGCGCTTACGCGTTACTGCAACTGGATAAAATGATTGAAATGTCTGCTATGCTGTGTTTGACACCTTAGACCTATTGAGGGCTTAGCAACAAGTTCCAATGAGACACCCCATACTCCATACGGTCCCTTCACTGTTTCTCCATAACTACTACTCCACATGGACGCATGTTTGGCTTGGACGCCGGCCGTCCTACGGTTTATTTATACAACCTGGTTGATTATTCTGAGACCTCTTTTGCTGAAGACTTGATGATCCCTCATAGTACGAACCAGTCGTTGAGAAAGTCGAACTTGTAAATTACAATCCACATTACGGCAATTTTAATTTTTCAGGCGGAGAACAAGGTACTGTATCCATCTGCAATCACACTCCTTGTGGCGACCGCACATTTGCCAACGCATACCTCAACCAGTGAATGCAATGACGCTCATACACCCCTCACTCACACGCGCCTCCACTCAGTAACGTCAAAGATAATGTCGAGCATACTTCAGTCGCCATCCGTACCCGGAAGATGTATCTGCATATCCAAATACGTATGAACCTGAGCCTCCAACACCGTACACGACCCTATATTTTAGGAAGCCGGTAAACCTGACCATACTTTCCATCACACCTTAATCGATTTTAACAATCAACCTTTATTCCAATCCAACAGCCTGCGCGAATGTCGTGACTATCGTTTGTATTCACATTATCGCTTCCTATTACCCACGTCTCACCTTTGCTTATGTACGTCTATTCTTGGACAGGAAAAGTGCTATTCATTCGATGCAATTCCGTCTTGTTCTCACGCCCAATCAAAATCCAAACTCCATCCGTAACTTCACCAGACCCTCTCAGTTCACCATCACCATCATCATCAGTGACGGCAACATTAGTGCTGATGCTCCACTGCCGTACAAACATAAATTCTACTTAATTTTGTTTAAGCCCTTAGAATGGAAAGTTAAAAAGATTGGGTGAGGCAGAGGGCCCGACGCCTACATCTCCAAGCGTTCGAGCAATCTGGAAAGAAACTGACAGCAGGAGTGCAACTGACACCGACCGGCCGCCATTTCTTGCAATGTCTCCTGCCAAACACAGGAAGACTCAGGATGGCACCATCCTGGATGGTATACCGCATAAAAAACACCCAAACTTTTCATAATCTCTTTTGCGCCCTTCTGCCAATTCACACGTCCACCCGCGGTTGGCCCCATTTTGAGGGAGCACGGGGAATGAAACTAGCTTCTTGGGACGATGGTTCGGTGTGCACAGCACATGGCTGAACTGGATATTTTCCGTGATTGAATCACGGTCATCAGATATCCGACTTACGAGAAATCTGTTTGTCCCAAGCCGCTTGGGGTGTTCGACCGAACTGGTGTTTCGTTCCGTTCAGCTGTAGCGCCCCTTCGGTGCTCAACTGCCATGCCACCCGTAGGAAGCATGATGACTAGGATACTGCCAAGCTTAGACAGAGGAAGTCGAGAGTCAGAGGTTGGGTTTGAATCACGGACCTTCCGGTTAGTAAATTCGCACTCTAACCACTGAGCCATCTCGCCCCCGTTCGCGTGTTCTGGATACACAACATACATCGACCGGAAGAGCATTGATAACTACCTACTACCCAGTTCAACAGAGTACGGACGACGAAAACAGCAACGCGACACAGGTCCCTTGTTTGTAAAATGGGCTGTTTTGGTCTATTTTATTCCACAGAAGCGCAGATGCAAACCAACGGATGAATGATAGTTCTAAGTTGCCAATGTCGACGATGTGAGTTTGGCTGAGGATAGCCATCTTGACTCAAAATCTAACAAAACAATGTAAAAGTTTCTTCCTCTTTTTGGCTTCTGGAATCCAATATCAGTTGCTGTGGTTCGTCGGGTCCGCATCTATTAGGCGTTTCGTGGATATGCGTGCATCATCACAGACCCTAGTTGCTTATGTGTGTAGAACGGAATCCCGCTTTGCGGCTCGCATTCAGGCGCTGCTGCAGCCAAGACGCCCAACCCGCAAGTGATTGGTCAGACGGATGGGTCGCCGACCCAAAGTATGGGCTCAACAGTCAACCATGATTCAGTGTCAAGAATTCACGGATTGATACACAGGATCGAGGCTTTCGCCCAAGTTTTCCAGGTTGGGTTTGACCTTGTCGTTCAGCGGCTGCTGTTCACCTGAATGGCACACAGCGCGAGGACTCGCATAAAAAGCGTCTAATAGTGATTTGAGCTGGGTACTAGATGGAACGTGGACAGCAGCACTCAGCAACTATCCAAAATGAGAAAAAAAACCACCTAATAAAAGTGTGCACTCTGAGCATGAAGATTGCAGTGTCTGTAATCCGTTGTCACATTTACCATTCTCCTGAACTTGGAACCACCCTTTGCAACTGTCGTTCACATTGTATCATGACGTTTGTTTTAATGTTACGAATACACAATTTTTCGGTGCGACCTGCCGACTTCTTGCTGAACGAGTGTATTTACGCTCCATTGAACTGTTTGTTGATGAACCAGTGGGACCAGATCTCTGTGTTTATGTCAACTGTTGAACGTCACAATAAACCCCTGTGACATTTTTTAGCCGTGAATAATTTTCCTACCGTGGAATATATCACTCACGCTGAACCGTCTCCAGTTACCGCATTTGGATCGGTGTAATGGACTATTGGATTTACACATTCGTGAGTCCCCATTTGACTACTCATTCTTTTCTTATCGTGATTTTGTGATCTTGTATTAGTTACTTTGCTTGTTAATTAATCCTGATAAGGTCGTAGTCCGCTACAAGATCTTCTCGCCATATCCTCTTCTCTCGCTGCATTCCGTCGATTCAAAAGCCACCCGGGAAATTGGGCAATAGCCTCGATCCTGTGTATCAATACGTGAATCCGTGGTGTAAATATCGTTCGCCCGAATAGGCTTAACCGCTCAACAGAGTTTCCGAAAGGTATTCCGAAGTTCACTGGCATAAGGGAGTAGGCTTGTACTTATAGATGGGTGATTTTTTAGTTGTCCCAGTTAGTACGCGTCCGCTCGTGAGCGCAGGACCTGTGTGGAATATGTGCAGAACTGCGCTAATTTTCGGCTTTTAGGCCTCGGGAGATTGAGACGTTTAATAGGCATCAGAGCTTCTTTATTTGTCTCACAGTAATAAAAAACCACAATACCCTGCATTTCCATGTGCCTAGGAAATGCAAACGGTCAACCGATTTAAGTGGTTTTGTTTTACTGTGCGGCGCCATTGCTCACGGGAAGCTCTGCGTTCTGCTTGACCCCACGTGCGGCTGAGAGTGTTTTGCTGTGTTTTCATATGCTTTATTCCTGGTGTGTTGACATGAACGAAACCGTAAAAAATATCTTTCATTTCAAGTAACCGTCAATGCGCCCGAAATTTGTTCGTGTTGCTCGTAAAGGCTCTTCAAGAACAACGCTATATAAGAAAATACGACAAGCGGTTGCGGCAAGTGATGTTTTCGTTGCCCGACTGATGAATGCGTCCATAATGCCTTTAGTCGACTATTTGAGTGTAAGATTCATGATTAATCAGATGATGGGCTCTAGATATGTCGAATTTGACCGTTCCAGGTGATAAACTAGGCTGCGATTTACCACGCTGTTCACTGGCGGTTTCTCCGATCCTTGTTATCAGGACTTTGGTACCAGAAAGACATTCACCGCTTCGGTCCCTGGAGAACCTATCGGTTCCCGCTTTTTGCCATAAGTCAGCCCACTGCAAGTCGTTGAAGGGATCGGTCCGTATGTTCTCCTGCACTTATATTGCTTTCCATCAGTATCCTTTTTAAACCATTCACAACCAGGTAGAATTACTTTAACGACTGTTAGTCGGAGGGCGCGAAGGCTGAACCTACCTTTATCCGGTTTAGACGTTGTGTTGGACGAACTCAGATACTTTTTCCGTCTCTTCTGAGGGATCCACGGACCGTAATGAGAACCCCCCGTCGTTGCCGCGTGCGACAGAAGGCCGGTCGGACGTACGTCCACCTTGGGTTGAAAGCAGGTTTGCTGCAATAGCTCCATGAGATTCACACTAGGGCTAAAAATATCGATATTCAAATGAACGTTGACGGTATTCGTGCCTACAATAACTCGCGTACTCAGGTGTGGCCCGCATAATTTCCCATTTTCTCGGTCAGCCTTTCGTCGTTGGAATATACTGTGGTATGCAAAAAACCCAATGATGCTCACCAGCTGATATCTGACACGGTCGCTGAGTCGACAGAGGCCTTGGCGAACGGTGTCTCTGGGGTTTACAACACTCACACCTTCCGTCTTCAGTGCATTATTTGCGACAGTCCTGCTAGGGCCTTCCTGAAGCAAGTGAAGGGACATGCAGGATATTATAGCTGTGATTATTGTACACAAAATGGTGTGCACATTGGCACACGTATGACTTTTCCCTCGTTGACAGCTCCCTTGCGTCGTGACTATGATTTCCGGACCAGGAAGCAAGAGAAGCACCATACAGGTTCAAGTCCGATGGAGGATTTAAATTTTCCCATGATTGGCGGTTTTCCACCGGATTACATGCATACTGTGTCTTGGTTTAGTGAGGAAATTTCTCATCTTACTCAGAGCTATGCCAATTGGGCACAAAGCCAGACTTTCTCTGGAGTCCTGGAATCTGCTGAATGATAACATTGAGCAACGGAGTTTGGCTCTGAGTGTTGATTTCCCCCGAAAATGTCGAGGTGTCGTAGACCTGGATCGATGGAAGGCATCTGAGCTACGACAGTTTCTTCTGTACATAGGACCCGTTGTTTTACGAGATATCTTACATCCTGACGTTCACGAATGCTTCATGTAGTTTCCGGTAACCACTTTCACAGGCTGTTCACCTTTTTTCACAACACTATGCTGATTTTTAATTGATGTTTCCAAGGTTCCTGTGTCAAAACTCGCTGCTATTTCTGGTCCCAGCCATTTAGTCTACAACATACACCTCTTCTCCCATTTATTCAATTTCGTCAAGCTTTATGGTTGCCTGGATCATTTTTCCTGTTTTCCCTATGAATCGGGGCTGGGGCATTTGAAGCATTACATACATGGGCCAAAACTACCAGCTGTTCAGCTTTACTGCCGACTGGCCGAGCGTGTGGGATTGGATGCTGTCAAAAGGAAGCCATTTTTGGATGATGTTGGTTTGCGACTGAGGCCATCAGCCACTGCCGAACGTCACAGGTTTATTCATAGGGATGCCGTTTTTTGAAAACTTTCCTGACAACTGCATTTTGCTTGATGGTCAACCAGCTGTCATTGTAGATTTTTCTGGAGATACTATTGAGTACCAGAAATTCAAAACCTTTTTCCCGTTTTGCAACCACGTATTGATATCGACAGACGTTTTAGTTTTTCAATGCCCCGACTAGCAACACATTCGGCTGTTTGCATCAGTCGACCAAATATCTTGTAAATGCTTAGGTTTTTCTTGCAGAGGCACTCGTATATACTCCCCAATTTTGCATACCCTTATCGATTAGTTAGTACTCTTACCACTGGCACTCGACACATGAATGCATTTATTACTTGTATTACTCATTAGTTCGTAAAATATATATACATATTTATGTTGGTGTTGTGTTATCCCATCAAAGCTTCCGTTTGCATATGGACATTCTCCTGGTAAATGTCGTTTTGAAGTTGTTTTTCAGCCATGTACGCTGTTCTCATATTTGTGGACAAGTCTGTTGGCATAGTGCATGAATCGTGGTTCGTACCGCCCGATTCAGTCCTTTGACCCTCGTGCACAACCAGCACTCTTAATGCCAACTTACTAAGGGGTACTCTACCAAAATGTCCACTCAAGTCGTGCGCGTACGAAGTGTATCGGCAGCGCAGTAAGTTCATCTTCAGTTAAAAACGTTCTAGAAACTTTTCCGGATGCACTGAGTGCTCAGCGGGAAGCCATCGACCCAGGGCATACTTCCTCTGCGGAGCGAAAAATCAATCCAGGCGCAAACAGTATGTTTATCAATCGTAATACGATGGTTGCGGCACAAAGAAACGGCCGCCGTCTAATTTTACAGACGAGTCGGATCATGCTTCCAGTGGTGACACCACTATGTTTGCGGACATAGTCATAAGCCCACCAACTCCAAAAAGACTGTAGGTTCTCCGGCATTTACCAACTTTTCAATTTGTGAATTCCTCATTTTTAGATGTACCAACCCTGGCCAACCTCATTCTCAGTGAGTAGATTACCATGTTTTAATTAAACTATTTTATAGAGAATTTAGAGGAGGTCTACCCGTTGCTCCAGAGACTGCATATGAAGCTGGACGCCTTAGTACCCGCAGGCCGTTCTCAGACACAACGAACCCTCTCTTCCGCTGTCATCCATGGACGGTCTCCGGAAGTATGAGGAACATCTAAGAAATGGTCCACTTTTATTCACGATTATTGACTTCACAAAGGTGGAAAGGTGGCTCTTGCAGGGAGTTGGCGATGTACAAGGGTACGTTATCAACGGGCTTACACGGACGTTGGCACCAAGGCTAGCCGTGCTACTCAACTGGCACGGAATAAATGAAAAAGAAGCCTTCGAGTCAACCAGGCTGGCCCAAGGACTTATTTGTAAGTAGTTAATTGTTATTTTATATCTAGCTAGTTGAATCAGTGTCCGGATGAAACTGAATAACTATGTTCTTCATCACAGGCGCGACAACTGAGAAGTTTCCGAACACAAATCTGCGACAAATAAGGGAAATCGTTCATCCCTGGCTGGAGAACGAACGGCAGAAAGTTCGGAAACGCCTGAAGAGAGCCAACAAGAGTGACAAATTATTTCCCCCTGTATTTCTTTTTATGAATTCATCCATAAAAACATTTGTACTTGAAGACGCTTATTGATATCCGGAAAGGTAATACGCTGAGCAATTATGTGGGGGCAGATGAGTTATCACTTAGTGTTTAGGAAGTCACTGGATCGTACTAGGGAAAGAGATAAATCCGTATAATGGGCTATATTTGCGCGTTGGACGACTTTAGCTAAGTGCGGACTGGGGGCAGAAATTCCGGGACTGAGTACGGATTTTCCGCACCTGGGTGCGGAAACTTCTGCACTATTTCCGCATCCGGGTAATGACTGGGTGGGAAAATTTGTTTCATTTCCGCACAGAATCTGCACCCGGCTGCAGAAATGTGCGGATACTGTGCAGAAATATCCGCACCCGATGCAGAAGGTCGCAGATATTGTGCGGAAATTTCCGCAATCGGGTGCGGACTAGGTGCAGAAACTTGTTTCATTTCCGCACTGGTTCCGCACCCGGGTGCAGAAATCTGCGGAAACAGTGCGGAAATGTCCGCAGCCGGGTGCAGATATTCTGCAGAAATTTCTGCACCGGTGCTAACTGGGGTAATCCGGAAGCACATGTTCAGCTTCTTGTAAAAGTTTCCCGTTAGCACGTTTCTCGACAGAACACTGCTGGATTCCCTGGCTGCCACCCACAGCATAAAAATTATGGTTAATCGAAATGAAGGTAGCTGGAATCTACAAGCACAAAAAGTCATCGACATGTAAATCAATTCGTTCAGATACATCCTAAAACACCTCTTATTGTAAGCGGTTTGTCATGAAGGTGCTGTGTAAACAAACGGAGGAGTGAGAACATCTGAAGTTAGTGGACACATTTTGCAATGTTGGGTTCACGCATTTACCAGATAAACACCAAATAGTACACAACCTACAATTTATATGCTGAAACCATTACGCACTCTAATCTTCCTATGAATAATCAATTGTTACTGAAAGCTTCTACGATTTTTGCTCCGAATACCTCTTCCCGAAGCATCAGGGTAGGGTTTCCGTTTCGCTCCAGCCGGGAAGTTGACAACATACAAATTTGTAAATGGTAATGATCCATAAGTTGTGCACCAACTAGTGTATTGTCCAGTAGGGCAAATTCAGCAAATTATTAGATCTACACAGTAGCCTATGGTATCGTAAATTCCGGCAAGCTAAAATCAGCCGATATTTATCCGGCGAATGGAAAAGATTTTTCGGAAACTGCGATAATTTGTAAGACACCACTCCATGGATATATATGTCTATGTTTTAGGTGTTTTCCTTTACCTTTCTTTTGTATGCGCCTTGTTTGGGTGAGTGATTTTTGAAGGTCAAAAATACTCTGAATTTGGAAATGGTGCACAACGAAATATAATAATCCGACCTTTCGTAAAATGTGTCACCTAAAATGGACGAACGCTGCGGGTTATCGACAGCTCTAAAAGCTTGGGGAAACCATATTCAGCCTTCAGTACACCCATTTAAGCATGGTAAGCGGATAACTCCATTATCTCAACCTTGCCTGTTGTTCCTTGGTCATGAGAACGGATGTGAAAGCCTTTGTCCTCACTCGTCGTGTAGTGCTTACCCTAGTAATCCCGTCATCCTGGGTGAACCATTCGTTCACTTCTAATGACTCGTACGAAGTTTGAAGTAGCTGAGGCTAGCAGTACATTTCTTTTCCTCATTGTATTATATTAAATGGATAGAAGACATAAATGTTTTCCTCAATTATAAATGACCTGCTCTGGGTAGCTGAGTTTTCTGGTTAACTACTTGATCGTGATCTAGAAGTGTTGTTTACTGGTAGCGGATTTCTCCGTTACAGGCAGCGAGAAATATTAGGCTCTTTGTGGCTGGACCAAGGGAGAACCGGAATGTTTGAGGCAAGAGGTATACACGGCGAGCTACTAATTTTGACCCGAAATATTTATGCCCAATCTAAAGAAAGGGGAAACCTGCAATTGTCTCGCAGTTGACTCTTATAATGGCTAATTCGCATGCTTCATGTAGAATCATCATTGTCATCTTCCTTAAATTGGCGCCCTAAAGCGACGTCACAATTATCATCCTATAAACTCGGGGCTTTAAATTCGCCACCCCTTGTGGCCGATAATCAGATGGCTGGGTCACCCTTTGCTGAGGTTCTGTGATTCGGCGCAAGTTAACCTCGAAGCATGGCTTCTTCGCGGAACATCTGGCATTCGCACCCGGGTAAAGGATAGACATAAATAATAATGAGTCATACGCGCACGCGTCCTGCGGATAAGCCAGAAGGTTTTCACCGCACTGTGGACAGGATTGATTAATACAACAGCCAACACAATACGATAAGCAATTCCTTGCACACAAGCGGCCAATGCGGCTGGTCAGCCAAATTCTGTCCCTCATCTTGCATTCGGGTTGAGGCCCAGTATCTCTGACTACCTACGACAAGTTATCATTCACAGATGATGAGTACGGGACCAGCAGGTCTTTCACCTGAACAATCCATTAGTTGATGAAGTTTGTGGCTTTTTTGGGTTTGATAACTTAATTTGTTCTACGGTCTAGCCAGGACATCTAAAGTAGACGGTGATTACTTGGGAAGTGGTGTAAACTGCAGTTAATGTTCCAGTATGCTGCAGTCTGACAATCATCGTTGGTGGCCTAGGAGGTGACTTAAGAAAACATCTTTGGAAAACGCTTCACGCTGATTGGAACGGGCTGAGCCCCAAATACTGGTAACAGGGCGTTTAAGGAAGCTCCATCAACTGGTGAATGTGGAACGCGCATCCACCACCGAAGGTGTCATTCCTTAGGGAACACTTGGGGGCTGCACCGGGAAACATAATTTGACTAACGAGAATCTGCTCCGCCTTGTTAATTCCAACGGCCTAATAGTGCAACCTTGGGGGCCGTAGTCCCAAGGAAACTTAAACTAATGAAGAAGCATCTGTCATCATGTGCCAAACAAAGTTTTGAAGACATTCACCGCCTTTCATGCATTAATTGTATAACGTATGTATTGTAGTTCACAGTAAGTCAAAAGAACGCGTAAGTACGGACACGAGTGTATTGGGTACACGCGGCCAAACTGGTCCGCTTTCGTGGCAGGCAAGCAAAACAACTGAGTCACATATCCAGTCAACCCACATCGCTCACGCGAGCCAATCAATCGGACACACATCCAATCGGCCACTCAAGTCACATGCCAGATCGATGGTGGAACGACGAACGGACACGCACACGCGCAAGCTCTCTGACACACCGAAGCAGCTACTACAGTATGCACCACATATTCCTGCGTGAGCCACTATGTGTACCAAAACACCTGTTTGGAAGTCTTGAGAATGTCTGAGTGGCGCACACGCCTTTTTAATTGACTGTTGCCGTTCTGAAAACGATTGTTAGTCAAACTGTCCAAGCGAATGAACCTGAGTTATTCGTGCACAACACATGCGTGTGATGCGCAATCAGTGAATCCTGGATTTAGAGACGTATCCTTGGTCCGCACGAGGCGTCATTGCGGGTCACTACGAAACCCTGCGCTGGTAATATGATCAACATGCAGTGTGCTGCGCAGCATCGTGCAGGGAAACTTAGTGTGGAATATGTACCCGCCGTTAGCAGTGACTTTGGCCAAAATACACAAATGTTATGTTGGGTTGTACTTACATACTCCCAGAAAGCTCTGTGGGCATGGAAATCGCCGAACAGTAAACTGGTTGCCCACATATGCGCCGCGGGTTTGCCTATAACAAGTGCTTTCGCCTATTTCTTTTCGTCTACCACCTCACTGGTTAGGTTAAGCGGTTTGCGCGTAAAAGAAAAGTGGACGTCATCTGTGAGCAGGAACGCGTACATCATGTATCCGCAGGCCACACACTAATGATTTTAAAAGGCTCATCAAATCCAACGTGTTACGTGTGTCTTAATTAAATTTGTGACGTCTAAGTAGTTTTATAATAGCGTATCTGGAGCTACCTATGGAAATATGTGTGGTTGTAGCGCCTTTACGCGGTTGTGACACAGTCACGAGTCCAGATTGGTAAAGTTTCACCAGAACCGACGGCGTATCACCCGCCGCAATAAAGTCCAACCACCCACCACTTCCTAAACATAATAGTGTGGTACTTCCAGCAGTAGTCGTTTACGTTCTGTGAGGTAATCGCTTGTTGGATATATCGGCTAAAAATTCCGCATTCACACGGCAACTTCCTGCATTTGCCCAGGTTCCCTTCAGCTATCCAGTGGTTTGCGGGAAAAGGGCATGCAAAAATTAAAGCACACTTTAATTGTGCTGAAGCTGGTGAGAGGTGGCTGTTGGATGGTTTCCGTGACCCCTTTGGCAAAACCGAATCAGGGGGCGGGTGTTTTGTGTACTGTTTTTCATAAGCAACTTTACTTCTCCTCACGGGCTTCTTGTGATTTCCTGACGTACTCTTGGTTTGGGAGGTCACGATGTGCACTAGTAGTACACCCCTCAACTTCAGACAGCGTCGGTGCCGTTTTACATGCCGCGAGCACATATGCTGCTCAATGACCCCTTAAATATGCATTACCGCATTCCCAAGCGCCACAAGAGGTGTAAACCAGCAATTCATCTGAAGCCACACATGCCTCAAATGTTTCTCAAAGCATAGCTTGAAAGAAAAGGGTTACGGAAGGTTGTACTACTGGACGGTATCTAATCGAAACCACAAAATCTCTCCATAGAGTAACAGTTTTGTTACTCTTTGTTCAGTGATACTTATGGTCCACTTCTTGCGCAAAGCTAATAGATTTAATGGCCGCCAAATCTCAGCAGATTGTCTCCTGGAGGATGGTGGGAGATTTTTTGGAAAGTTAACACCTTCACGTGTTTCACGTGCTAGTGTCTTTATTCGGAAATATTTTGAGTAACGCATGGGTGGTGATTATTTTTTATTTTTTCACGCAAACACAGTGTGGAACAGTTGTTTGGGACTTTTGCATAATAAGATTTCCTATTTTTCGGGGTGCGTCCCGCTAGACAACTCCAAGATTTTCATCGCGGCTCATAGGTTTGCTGGATTTTCCCATGACACTTACATACACTGATGGGTGCACTGCAAGGTTTTGTATCCACTAGTAGACTGAGTCGTTGATAGTGCCTCAGGAAGAATAAGTGGGTTTTCAGGCTGCATCAGCAGACGGTGTGATTAGGTTTCAAGTACTCCCAGGTTCTGGGACAAATTTAGCCGACTGAGCTAGTGCTTGAGCACATGAAGCACGCTTGATCAATAAATGGTAGAGATGTGGTGACATGCAGGTAATGCCATTGGACCGGCTATGGCGGTCGCGGCATCGTTATCGCGATCTTATATTTTGGGGGCGGCTACGTACGTGAACATCTTGGGTAGGTCTGTTAGAGTTGCCGGGGTAGTTCAGAAGGACACATGAGCTGTGTCAAATTAGGACCAGCGTTGACAATGAATATTCTTTTGTCCGTCGAGAGCGCGAGGGGCTATGCTCCGGGTGAGATCGTGTGACAACCGTATCTATAGACTGCGGACACAAAATGGAAAAAAACTTATCAAAAACATTTGCTGGGTGAGGGCAATTGGGTATATGTTAGACTATGGCTCAAAATAACAGATAGGTGAAAGTGGTGCAGTTTCTGATTACTATGTCCAGGTGACACTGCCCAGTTCGAACAACTGAAGGAGAATCAGTTGGAGATAGTAAGGAACATTGGTTTTCGGTCGATGCGAACGGGTGCTTACGTAAGTGAATATGTAAGAAAGCGAATTAGCTAAATCTTGCGCAGGTAATATTACATCTAGTTGCGCAATCGTAATGAGGCTGCGCATGAAGCGCAACGTTGTGCGTGAACGGTTTTCGAGTTCACGGTTAATGCATTCGTGACCTCCTAGTTTGCTTACGTAAGAGGTGATTAAGTTGTGAGCATTTTTGGAAGTACGATAATCACTCAACGGAGCAGGGTAAGATGAACAAGAGGCTTAGAAGTAATCACCAAGTTTGCGGAACATTTCAGTAATTTTCGTTCAGAAAACGTCTCCGGGAGCTGCAGAGGAGAACAACTTACCAGAGCAGGGCTACCGTGAACAGCAGCATGCCAACTCTAGATATGGATGGCTTTATGACAGTACATGTCATACAAGGGAGGGCTAGCTAATCTGAAATTTGGGCGGATCTACAAGAATTAGTAGTACAAATCGTACATGACAGCTAGGTTGGAGAAAAATGGGCTTCATAGTCGTATTGCAGGTTTGTATGATGCCGCGAATCGTGCGACGACGTGAAGCCGTGGCGCACTTACAGCGTAAACAAAAGGTTGGAGGCCTTCTAATATCTACTGCGTTGGATGCTTCACGCCAGGTTATCTTTGTAAACTCACACATTAGGCAGCGTTCTACACTCTGCTGGTTTAACATTTTCGACTCAATGGTTGGTTTTCCGTGGGGACGAACGATCGTGCTTGGCCATCGCATCAGGCTATCACGCATAGTTAGGACCTCATCATCTGCGGTGCGCATAGACACGGACCTAGCAGCCACGATAAATAACCGAGGTAAGCAAAGACGTGTGAAATTGAGTATAAGAGACCGTCGTTGGCCATCAGGTTAAGTTACATGCATAGCTGAAGCATCATAATCAGCTTCGCAGATAGTTGCCGGCCTTGCAGTTACGATAAGTAGCGAGGCTGGGCAAAAGCGCGCACAGTTGTCACCATGACGACCAGCCTTACTTACCGATGGTGGCATTGCGCTTTATGTCGTATTCCAGTTAGGTAACGTCCTGCTTTCCAAAGGGGGCGATCTCCCATTGGGACTCTAGTAACCCATGCAGATATCTGAAAAACGCTGCTTACTCTGCTAACTAGTTGCTCACATTTGAGGGCCAAACATTACGAGGGGAATTACCAAAATTAAATTCCAGAGAAACTAAGGCAGATTATTGTTGTTTTCGATTTTTGCACGCATACAGAAGAAACCTTTCGACGCAACAACTTCTCCTAGATACACAATGGTTAGGGCGAAAATTACATGTATTGGTTTGGAATTGGCCTCTGATTCCAGCATTTGTCACCCCAGGAAAATGGCTCACGTAACTAAATTACGCATACCAGGAAGTAGCAGAGGAATTCTCCAAGCACATGTTTTTATACCGAATTAAGGGTGTCTTCACTACCATTTTGGTTTCGGAGACACCATCTTTTTGCTTGATCCTGATAGGCTATTGAGTTCGCATGCCTGAATGTCAAGGTCATAGCCGTGTTTGGTTTTCGGCACGCATTTAAAATATACGTCAAACTGATGTTTATATGTTGTTTTACTTTATTGTTCACGGTGGTTACAGCAGAAGAGTTTCATTACTCAGTTCATAGCAAACTCCCTGCGGAACATGTACAGTCACTGGTTGAGAAAGAAAATGGACGGGTTCATCATTACGTAAGTAGGGATTGATTATTCGATCCAGAATTGCATATAACCTTTTGTGCATTGGCTAGTTCGATTACTTGAAATTTTGAATCAGAGTCTGTGCAATGTCGCCTTGTTAACTATTCGGTCCCATGCCTCAGGTATTAGAGCCGTGTCGATCCGTGTTTCACTAAATGTTTGATAATTGGTAGCAATATATTATTTTGCGATAGCAAGAGGTCGGAAGTCCACGCACTGGGCTCTTAATTTTGAGTACCTATGAACTTTTGTGTACGTTTCAGAGATCAGGACCTCAGCTGACAACCATTATTGGACGAAATTTCATCCTCAATCAAGTTCTACAATATGACCTTGACTATTATTATTATTCAATTTTGTTTACATGAGTTTGAACTAGTTTGTGAGTTGCATCAATTTAAATGCGATTTATAACAAGTAGTTCATAAGAGGGCCTCAATAAGGTTCATAATTTAGAGAAAATGCAGGTGCAGTCCCAGATGGATACTGAGAGTTACAAATGCAGTAGGTGGTGTCGTGGAAAGACGGTGCATATTGCTAACTCTCACCGGTCCCAGTTCACTACTGTTGACTCGCGTGAGTTTAAGGATGATCCATTATAGTCCAGTGTCCCCTGGAATATGGTCAATCACATATTTGTTGAACTCTGCCAGGTTCATGTTTTTCAGCACAGAGTTAATTAATGAGCATCTCTGACGAGTGCTTTATCTTGAGCGTATGCCACATGTTTTAAGTCCAACCATTAATCGGGTTACTCGGAATCAAATACAAAATCAAGAAAGTGGAAATTATCCTGTCCAAAACCTACTGGTATTTAGCATTATGTTTGTCTGGCGGTTCCGACAGCTTCTCTAGATAAAGTGCTGCTAGCTTCTCAACTCCCCTTTGTGTTTTACACCATTCAGATCCTCTTTAACTGCAGCCAAAAAGCGTTCACGCGTTATATCACCGTTTGTGGTCTGGGTCTAACAGTTACCAGTGGTTTGTGATTGACTTGTTACGTTTAACACTTGCACATTTCGCTTACAGTCCTTTTGGCGGTGATTGTGGCCAGCACCAGCTTTAAATTCATGGCGTCTGTCTCAGCTTAAGTCTTGGCACAAGTAGTACTCTCGATCAAATTAACGACTGTTACAGCAGCAAAAATTGTTGTTGGACCGTCGAAAAAACTTGCAGTTCTTGCAGTTGTTTCCAATCTCGTGCATGTGACACTGCGGTGCCGATGTCAGGCTTACAGTGAATAAACAAAGTAGACAAATTGCTGAACTATTCCTGTGAACCTCACTGAAAATGATCCCTTTAGTTCGTTTTGATTGTCAGCAAAACTTTTTCTGTAACACTAAGTTAAAAATATTTTAGAAATGCTGTCACTCTGCTAGAATCACTAGATTTTCGTCAGCGCATTTTATAAAGAGCGTTTTAGTCACAGCTAAGTTTTGTTTTATTCGTCTCAACTAAACGTTTTTGAGTGTTACTGCTTCTAAGTGATGCCCGTCAATAATATCATCAATGGTGGTGAACAACGGTTGCATTCACTTGTAAAAATGATATTTCAGAACCATCTACAACAGTACTTCAGGTTCAAGAATCTTATACTACCTTTACATGCTTATCGTTACATATATCACGTTCATGCAAGAAAGCTTAAAAATACCTAAACTAAAGCGTTTTACTGTCTTGCTGCCAGAAAAACAGTTTTATGTGTAAAAATCGAAAGAGGGATTTTACTGCTCTTAAGAAGTCACAAAGCAAGAAAAAGGAAAATAAGTGCATTAACGGAGTTTGTGAGCCCTGCTTATCTGTAAGTATTGAAAAATAGTTACCATGGCCGTCATGCAAAACAGTGCGCTATTTATACTTGGCGTGTCCACCCCATTAAAAATGACAGCTATGTCAGTCTTACACAGAAATGCCTACAATCATTGTATTCCTGTATACATTTCTTAAAAAATGAATTGCAAAGCAATTAATTAAAATAATCAATTTTTTCGTTATTAGACGATTTGCGCCGATATTTTGACACGGGAAACTTGTCAGTGGGTCTGTTGGAAAGACTCACTAACAAGGAGAGTCAAGAAAATTTGGAAGAAGTTTCGTAAATTCATAAGATACAAACAAGGCATCAAAACAACTAGTTTTCATCTTTGTGAAAAGATATCAAAAATAACAAATTTGGGCATGTAGAAAAAGATGAACAGTCTACTATCATAACAAGATTATGGGTGGCAAAATGTCCCAAACTGTGAACTACAGTTTTGGAACGCGTATCAGTCCCTCATTGGCCGCTTGAGATTAAGTATCTTCATGATCTTGATAAATATTGCAGTGTTGTCTTGGAAAATACGAACACGGGCTTGATTAAGCATGAGGCTTGTTTGAGTTAAGTAGTAACTTAGCATTTACCAAAGAAAGAGGCCTTATTAGGCTTCATTTGATGTAAACGTAAGCTTTTCGTTTCTTTCAGCTATGGTTTCCCACTTTATAACTGACGTAAAATGTAGACTTGAATTTGAGATATTACTTATATGTCCTATATTGATTGCGTTTAATTTGCCAAGTTGTTTTAGCAATAATTCTTTATGGACGCGTGATATTTATATATTCTGCTATGCTGGCACAAGAACTACAAACGTGTATTGGTAGCAGTGGGCCATTTTAGGTAATTTTTATTCTGTGTTAGATGCTGTTAAAGTTTGTGACAACTTAATAGTTCAACGAAAAAGTCATACATGGACAGCTTGTATAAATTGCATGTTTTTGGGCTATTTGTCAAGCATGATAGCTAGATATCACTCATTTCGTCCCAATTAGGGAGATATCAAATGACGTTTTACTCATTATATATTCTCAAATGTAGACAAAACGTGCGCAATACGAATGCAAGGGTAGACAAGAAAACAAAAACTGAGTATCTTAAAACTGACGCGTGCTGAATCAAGCAACTTCATTTCAGGTTTTTTGGTCTTCTCCTGACTAAATATCTCTAGTCAAAGAGTAGGACATCAATAGACGCTACTGTTCTAATAGTTTAATGGTTTCAATACGTTTTTATATTTACTCTTAACCTAAAAGTTTCTGTAAATCATAACTTTGAGTTTTCTTAAAGGAAAAACGTAAACAACTATATAAACAAAAAACGTTGACTTTGCTTAGCTAAGGTAACCGTTTTTAATATAGTATCCTAGTATTTTGAAAACTTTGTCTTCTGAATATCATAGGAAAACATAGTGCTTATGCGCAAATTTTCGCTGAGTAGTGCAAGCGCAGTTTAAACACAATCTTTAGCGGGAAATCGAAGCTTGCTTTTGAATCTTTACAAATGTGTACAGTTCTATGTTTGAGTGATCTGAATCATTCCATCGTTATGGAATCACATCGAATTCTGCTCTTCATCTCACAAGATTTTTCCTTCCACTTCAAAAAGCAGAGACCCACCCACATTTTGCCCTCTTGTTGGTAATTATAAGTGTTTTCTTTTATGGACAGACGGTTCAGTGAGCAACGTGTTGTGATTCTGCAAACAGGTGTGGTTCAGATGTGTTTGCTGTAGATTCGCTGCGGCGGCTTATGTATCTACTTTTAGGCATTTGCTGACGTTATATGAGAGAGAAACTTCAATGGATTAATACAAGCGTATTTTTCATGAGAAGTTTTTCTATGGATATGTGGTGACATTTAAATGGAGCATCTTAGAGCCAACCAGAAATTTTCCTAACCAAGGGTTCTTTCCGTTTGAAGGTGGTTTACTAAGGTTATAAATTGTGAAGTCTTTTAAGTACAGTGCTTATTTACCGACCCTAATAAACCAATTCCTCGAGAACGTTTTGAACCATTTGTCTGGGCACTGACAAAACACAATAGATACTACTGCATATAGAACAAAAGAGATTACAAAGGCTCTAATTTTCAGAAGTGGTGGACCACCAAAATCGGTCTTTTCTCCTAACTTTGACCCTTTTGGAGTTTTATTATTATTGTTCATTGCGATAGTGAGTAAAAAGGCGACAAACGTATGGAATAAAGAAACGGGTGTCGTAATTCAGGCGCAGAGCATAAAAAGTGCAACGATATTACATTAGTAAAAATGGGAAGCAGAATTCTGCGGAATATTTGATTGTTTTCCTCTAACTTACCGCGTTTTGCGGTACAAAGACGTTTTATAAATTTCGGTCTTGCTTTTTGCTAAGCTAAAAGGGCTCACGCCACAAAACTGAGAGCTTATATAATAATATTTTATGCGTGTCCCAACTGGGCTTCAGACCAAATAGCCATATCTTTGCGTTATGGACTGCTAACTAACACTACCGCTAATAGTTGTAAATAACGATCTTCACAACTAGCAGTGCGTTTGTACACCTCTTGACTAGCCGTTGACCAGTACTTTGCTGAAGACATTTGATCTGACATTTTTGATTTCCTACTAACATTTCTTGAACAATGCGGCGACTCCGAAGTTTTATCAGACCTATCTGCTAAGTAGTACAGGATGTAGTCAATTAAGGTGCTGTGCAGCTTTCAAAAAACACCTCAGGTATAAAATTTTAACACAATTTGTAGAAAAATGCGAGTTTTCATTTTCACTAAACAAACCAAGAGATAAAAGACGATGAAGAAAATGAGATGTGATGTTAACTGACTGGTGCAACGTCCCGCCTGATTAAGTTCCAACAGACAGGTGCAACAGGGCTGATGACTTAAATTTCAGGCTCGGATTTCATACTCACCCTCCACACAATGTGAGTTTAGATCTTCCGTGTTTGCGCAGATAACACGCATAAAGTAGGCCAGCGTGCAAATTAAACTAGTTGAACAAATGGCTACCGGTGAAGGGCAATCCATTTTTCCCTGAAGTTTCACTGGACAAATGTTATGGTCAGTAACCCTAACACTATGCATAAAAGTGATGATAAGTAAAAAGACGTAATCGCTCCTAAGTCCAACGCATGCGGACCGATGTAACCAATTTTCCTCAGTGTATCGTACACACACATTCAGTATCCGAATGGGGTTTTGTGTGGACTGTTATTCCAAACTTCAGGCACTGTGTCTTAATACAGTGACCCAAAGAGCCTTATTTCAGTGATTTTTATTAAATACGTCCAGTAAGACTGAAAACGCTTGCCTCAAAACTATCCCGTGTATCTTCAAGTGGGACATTTGGCTTCATGATTACCAAGATCTCCATGAAAAGCATAGTAAACCCGAGACAACCACTTGCGTATTTCGGGGTAGTCGGATCGAGCCATTTCCTTACAGAGCACATTGGAACCTCCTTACACGTTTTGAAAACGTAAAACATGTTCTTCTGTCTTATCATGATGGGTATGTAAAAGTCATTCGTGAAACACAATGAACTGGCAGTAAATATAGGACTGTATACAACCTTTAGGCAGAATAGGGAGTTCATAATCTGCAGATCAGAACATAAGGTAGTGCAACTGTTGGGTTTATGTAGTTTATCTAACTTCAGTCTGCCTGATATCACCCGAAGAAGCTTCTTCTAAACATCAGTTGAGATACAGTAAAAATTATATAATAATTTCCCCAGTGAATGGCTACAATTTCCTGGAGCTGTTTTTTGATAGAATGATGTCGGTCACTGTGAAATTCAGTAGTAAACCCCAGCGAAATTTTCGCCTGATTCTCCGCTGTTTCTATGGGTCACGGCTGAAAGCGAGTTATTTTATAACCACTAGCCGGAAGAAATAATTCTTCCAAAGTGTTTCCAATCTTAAGTAGGAATTTTACTGACAACATTACCTGCCGTATCAAGCATCCAAAATGTTGGCAAACCTTCTACTGAGAATTACGCAACTGCAACATGAAAAGGTCCAGGAGGTGGTCGGTAGATAAATTATATGGTTTTTATATAATAGGCCCTATTACTAGTGTCTTTTGTAGTCCGCTGGTCAAGTGCAATCTGCCAAAGCGTTCACACCTCGGGAAGTACATGGGTTTTGAAGGTGGGTTCATAAGATGCTAGAAGTGTTGGACTGAATTAGTAGATGCGAGAAAGACTCATTTAGCAGATTGGATAAGGTAAGGACCGTCTAAATTCCTTGTCGGTTCTAGGAGCATTGCTTTTAATTATGTTGTGCAGTATGGTTGATTGTGAAAACTCTAGTCTAGAGATTGCGCAACCAACGTTTCTTTGTTTGTTGAATTAAACAGAAATTCTCAATAAAAATTAAGAAACTGTGCCCCTCGAATAGTAATGAGACCCTGCTGCCTATGTCACATGTTGGAAGGCTTCTTTTCCTCACCGAATGCATATCATGTATGCTTCCATATCTGAGCTGTTCTCCCTTAGAACGCACACATGGTAATAAATTCAAGAGCATCGCTATCCATTATAATAATCCGTTCAATAGGAAATGTTTTCAAGGCTTAAAAAGCACAAGATTGTTTTATCCAATCATGTAAAGTAAATCTAACAACTTGCGGACTGGCTTTTGCGGATACTCTTTGACCAAAACTGTATTCTATCTGCACACAGTTACATCACCACCCTTATAGTGTTATTTCTATCCTCCCCTTGTTGCTCTGAGATAGTTCAGAAGTATTTTTTCTTCCCTAGGTATGAGTCTGGTGTACTTTAAAGTGTTATTTCATGGTCACTTCATGTAAGAAAAATCCCCGAGCATTCTGACTAGCTTACGTGATCCTTCGATATTTTCATCAGTTATGAAATACATCGCACTGATGTATTTCTACGTCCCGCTAGATCACCTTTCTCTGGGATTCTTCCAAATGTTATTGTTCCTAGTTACTTAAAGTAGCCATCTCACACTATTCTTTTGAGCGTTTTCAAACGGAAGACTTCACGAATAAATGGGACTTGAATACTGCTTGGGCTGACATCCTTAAGTGTCTCGGATGATACTGTTCATCAGCGTAAACCAAACAGCTGAAACCAAATCAACCTTGTCCATTTTTCATTAGCGAGTTTTCGATAAGTTCTTTTGTCTTCTAAGAATTCCGCTCTTTTTTCATTTTGATCTGACAAAGACGACCTCAAACCAGATGCCCGAGATAGCTTACTAATGTCGACTCTAAACGGTTCTGTATTAGTCATATGAGTGACTCCCTAGTTCAAACGAAATATCATGCCCTGCATCGGACCGCTGCTGAGACTTGTTTACGGATTTTGATGGACTAATTTAAGTGCTGTACGTTTCAAGTGTAATTCATTTAAAGCTTAATTCGACCGAAAACACCCATGAACCCGCAGTACGGTACCCTGTCGGGGAAAGCTTTGGAATAACAGTGTCTTGTGTCACCCACCAGGAGGATGCCGTTCATTCTGAAACTCAGAATAATAAGCGCTCATTTGTTTTTTGTGTAATGGGTTGTTTCTGCTTCAGAGAACGCGCAAAACAATTCATTTAGGAAAAAACGGGCAAATAAACTACGTGATGCTGCGTGATGCTGTGTATGACCTCCATTATACGTAGATGCGTGGCACTAGCAAAAGTGAATCTCCTCGGAAGCATGTTGTTTTGAATTGCTTAGCGTTTTGGTCAGTCTGTCGTGGTATTTCTTTTAAAAGCCTAATGGGAAGATGAAGCAATAATTAGCCGGTTAGTCTACCAAATCATCAAAATGTTAAACGACTGCTGGTAACTTCAAGGATGGTCAGCTGGAATCAAGATGGTTTTTGCTACATGCTTGTAACTATTCTTTGTTAACCACATTAGGATAATGTGAGTACAAGCCAAAATAGATGCGCTAAGCGCTCTCAGCCTACTCGTTTTCTTGGCGGATTGTTACTCACGTCTAGGGCCGTGGTCCAAAATCCATTTCTACGAAGTGGCCTGGGACGTTTTTGTCTTCAGCAGAACCGTTATTTAATATGTGCGATGTTAGAAGAGAATGGTGGAAAATGTTCCTCATTAGTACCTTATTATTTCAAGTTCGATTGTGATCCATTGCCTCAGTAATCGGGGAATCCCACATCTAATTCAAACATTATCCAAGTTTTTTTTTAATCATTAGGCACATTTTACATGGTTACTTTAGGGAGCCAAACTTGAATAAAATTATAACCGAAGGTCTGACTTCCTCCGATATGTTACCACCATGTCGTATTAGACGTCTTCTTGAGATCACACACAGCTACTAGGTAATGATAGGATTCGTGGATTATACGTTTCAAAAGTTACTCTGTAAATGTCATTGTCTGGTCCCAAAAAGCAATTTTTTTCTGGTTCGTATGTACAGTCAATTTTAAGATAGGCAAAGAAACTGTTATGGGCTGGAGGTCTTTGCTGTGGATTCCACTGACAATTCAGAACAAACCGGTTTGATTCTTGGGAGCACAACTGTGGTTCAGTTATGTAGTGAGGTTGCGAGAAACTCGGGTATGTCACCCAACTGAAAAGCTTCAAGGAGGACAAAACTGGTCATGTGCTGCCAATGAGTTACCAAATACCTCATGAGTAATGTGTTACTCCCGTCTAGGTAATCTACTGCATTGCCTTGAATAACCTCCCAACTGAAACACGAGGCGCTATTGTTGAGCACATTCAGCCAAAGATTGTCATAAACGAGAGGTCATCAGCCGACATTCAGATAAGTTGCCCGTTAAAATCAAAGGTTTTTGCATAGGAGTGTAGGTCGTGCAGAGGAACTTTTACCATTCAGGCAACTCTCCTACCTTATTAAAAATTCAGCTAAACCCTACCGGGCTAATAGAAAAAAACACAGGCAACCAGTGAGATTGCTGTTTGCTCTCTTAATTCAGCGATTCCTTATCTGGCTTGCAACGGTTTTGGTAGAGTTATTTGCGATAAAATTCATTTGTAAATGACGCCTAATCGCTACACAACGCAGAACAAATAAACAGTTTTGGCGCACACACGGCTGTTTGTTGGAAAATTAAAGATATATAGACATGCATAGATTCGACGAGTGTGTTAAAGCTTCTTCGGTTCGACAAGGTCATCATATAAGACCTATCGATTGAAGCCAAAGAACGTAAGAGATTCTGTGTATGCTTGTCCGTCGATACTGGAAAATGAACCCTGTACGACAGGTGTCTCGTAGAAACTTGAGTACAATTCTCTATGGTGTGAGTACGCGTAGCAGTTGCTTGGGCCGCAGGTAGTCCGCAGAGAGAACAGTTAATCCGTTCAGTCACATTTAGGTCAAAAATCGATGGGAAGTTTTACACTTCCCAGCTTTGCTGTGCGTACAAAGTGGGTCCTGTTTAATTTTAACGATACGCAAAGGAAGAATAATCAATGCAAGTCATTGCGCTAGAAAATATTTAGCTCTACATCTGATGTTACTTTCAAAATTGTGAATTTTTGGAGGGTGTTACTCAGCCAATTAGCTCACCATTCGGCAGAAAAAAGACAATCTAATTCCTTCAGTGAATTGGGTCTCACCCTGTCTCACCCTACGACGCAAGGCTATTGGAGATTACTACTATGGAAACATTGCAAAAACAAATGCATCTTTAGTATCGATGGGAAGCAAAGGGTTTTTCAGGTTTTGCGCAGGAACATGTAAACTGGAGTTTTTCTCTGTCTACAAACTTATAATTAGAGCCTGTCATAGCCAACTGTAATCGAACAACATCTGCTGAAGGCATTCCATGTATTCATGGAAAGTACAGTATGAAAATTTCGTTAGGAAAAACTGACCGGCCAAATACTCAACAGCACTGTGCGTTATGTTGTTCTCAGAGAGTATGGTCCTAAGTGTCCGGTTTTAAGATGAATTTGGAAGTAAACCCTGAAATAGACCATTTCAGCAGTCTCAGGCTACTGAGAGGACATCAGATATCACAGTGTAATTTGCCATCAACCTCTTTTATCGGGTAACGTCCACCTCAAATTTGATGACACTGGTACTGACATATTCTTCTGAACATATTAAAAACACCTCCAAGCGTGGCCTCACGTCTCTATCTGTACTTGGAGTGTTCAACTTACCTTGCGCGTTCACCCATTATTGGGCAACCGGACCAAAATGGTGTATCTGAGTCAAGCACTTCATCCACAGTGTTCTGTGTCCTGGGGAGCATGAAGTGTGTTTAAGGTAAATAAAACTAGGGCAGGATCCCAAATACTGTAGCCACCTCAGTTAAACGTCTTAATTCGATAAACCAATAAGGAAATTAGGTCACGATTTTGTTGATCAAGACTTATCAATAATGAACAGCAGAGATGAGCTGCGGGTTTCCAAATGTCCTGAGAATAACCTTAGAACAGGCATCAATAAACAATCCGGAAATTGCTAAGTGGTCCGTCAGATGCGTTCTTTATTGAATCAATGAGCTCTTTGAAGCTGTGATACGCAGACAAATCATACTAAAAGTGTAAACTCTTGTGAATAGCATCATAAGTTCGCTTTGCTTTTTCGTTTGTCTCAGTTGTATCGATGGTTGGCGACGGCTTTTAACTCTTATCCTTGTAACTTTCGCGACTTGTGCTTAAAGGTTACGCAGGCAGCATTATTTATAATTTGATGCAAAGTTACTGGTATTTTGGTTTTGCCCTATTTGAGCCCCTTTTTTTGTAAGCAAAGTTACGGAATTCCTGCCAGTCTTACATTTTCAGCGAACACCGATTTGAACAGCTTCGGAGACAGCCACACAGTGTGACTTAGGAGGTAATCAAAACTACCGCCGAGCACCTTTCAGTTTGATGTGAACCCTAGAAATAAGATTGATTAAAACTTGTGGGCTTCGATCAAAACTGGCCTAGCCCGTAAAACGCCATCAAGCATCTCCCGATAACCTCATAGAAAGCACCCTCAAAATTCACAGTCATTCACTGTCATTGTTCCATTTCGTGGTTATCGAACCACATAAATCTTGAAACAGTCCTGTTGCTGCTTACCCATTTGGTGAACTTTATAAAAGACAGATTCATTCGCGTTTCACATCGTGATCACTTCGACATGCAAATAGGCGTTTGGTTACAGCTCTGAACACGTGCTATAGCTTTGCACTCGTGAATGGCTTCACAAGCTCAGGTTGACAACACAGGAGTTCAAGTAAACGTATCGGTCATGCGATAACTCAAACTGCATCGAACTATTCAGCTTTGTACAGTATGCGATCAACATAACCTAGCTGACTATATATAAATCAATCCGAAGCGACGGTCATCTTAGAAGTCTGTGTTGGCGATAGTTGCAATCTAGCATGCAGATTAATTGCGGAGTTAAATTTTCACACAGCACTGCAAGTTCAGAAAAGCAATTTATGGGGTGTCACCAAACTAATCAAGGCTCTCTATTTCTCATCGATGTATGCACACTCTACTGGCGGGGGTTTAAAGAGCACGAACAAGTAAAGCTGAGCGCATCCAAACATCCGTTTTTTTGTTTAAAAACAATTTGAAACGTGACATTCTTCGTAAATCAAACGATGTATCTATCAAGTTACAAAAGAAAAGTTGTAAAAAATTAAGTTAATAAACGCGACTCAATCAGGTAGTACCTGATTACTGGGAAGACAGAAATTGAATCCAGAATAAGGTGAAAATTGATTAATTCAGAAAATCAATTTTGTGGCTTTACCTGACATTTGCTTTTATCTCTTAACTTTTTAAAGAAAGAATCACTCACTCTGGTGTCACCAGAACTATAAAAAAGAACTTAGTCCTGTTAACTTTCAAAAGGCCCCTTTAAAGTTGGGGATACAAAATTTGGGACCTATCATTTATCTTCTGTCAGAGAGTCACCTGATTCTGCTAGACGAAGCCAATTACCTTAGGTATGGCGTAACATTAGGATTACGCTTTGACCATAATTTTTGTCCAGACACATTCACCTCCCGTCTTAAATATTATTCTTCAGTACTGTTTTCACGAAGAAGTTAAGGAGCCTCATTACACGGATTCAGGTTTGGATAGTATACGCAGTTTTTTGTCCGGGTCCTACTGACTGTGACTCTCTGATCAGTTTGAAGGACGAATGCCTCGCTGGGACTCGTCAAAGTCGGCAACAACAGTGTTGACACGCGCCGCCTGACCACCAGTTGCTCTCATTTCTCTTCAAGTCCTTCAGTAAAAAAAATCATCTTGTCATAGGCAATCGTTTAAACTCAGACATTCTGAAAAAAATGACGGCATAAGTACCATTGACATCGGTTGTCCGAAGTACTTTGGAAGCTCTATAGCCAAGTGCATGGGACACGTGAAGGTCCATGGTGGGAAGCGGAAAGCACCAAGTCTGTCCTGATGTTTACCACATCATCCTCTTAGGTCACAGACGTCGACTAATGAAGGAATGGCTGCATGGCATATATGCGTGAGTTGTACCATATATAGATGCTGCGTCCGAAGACACAAGTCTCCCCTGTTGGCCTCTAAAAGAACTAAGGACCGATTTAGATGATTTAAATGAGAGCCTCGTAGGGGGAAAAAGCTTGCTAAGATTTAAGACCCAAATTTTGTAGTTGACTTCTGTTCGACAGGTCGGATCAGTTTACCATTCTGAATTGGTAAGGTGACGCAAGCTGCTGTTTTACTGTAAAATTTACGAAAAGAACTATAAGGTGGTAAAGATTTAACTAGTAAAATTGACAGTCATGCTTCATTCTGAGGCTTAGATTAGCTTTGTTTTACGAGGCGACTTTTAGTGTGATGTTTCCTTACTAGAGTTCTCCACGACTATTTTACAACAACCATCTTCGACCAACAGGAAAGCTGTCCATATGATGGTTGTCTTCAAATATATTTCTGCCAATATTAGTTTTTACGCCATGCCTACCTACTGAATTCTTTCGGCATCGAATAGCACACGGTATTGCAAACAGTTTTTCTCGACAATATCTTAACCGGTCAAATAGTTATGAATGGATTAAACGGATATAGTATTTGCATAAAAGTTAGGCTGATAAGCCTGACGTACTGAGTGCCACAAAATCACTTCAAGGCCGGTAGAAAAAACGTACTCTCAACAGTGGATGTGATAGCCATCCAATTATGTCAGCCAAAAGCGCCGTGAAAGTGTTGACCCCACCACGGCTGACCAACCACGATTCTTATTTGATCTCGGTCGAGTGGCTTGAACGTGCATATTTGCTTTAGGTTTTATTACCAGTTCTTGTTGTAGGCAAATACCCTAACCGTTTATTCTGATTATAACAGTATCTGTCAATCAACGATTTATTGAAGGTAATTATTTGCAACACCAGTTGGTATGCAGCAATATTGGGAGACTCAACTGTGAACCTTTCTTCATCAACTCAACCCTTACTTGAGCTATGTGATAAAACTTGAGATTGTGACACAAATCTATGTGCCCTAAACCTTACAGGAAAATTCTGCTTCAAAGTCTCATACGATCGAACGGAACGGCCATTCGGCGTCACGCACTCAGACTAAGATAGTTACATTGGGGCGATATATATAAGATAATAGGACCATGTGCTGGAGAAAATAACCATAAATGAAAATAAAAAGTCAATGCGTTTGAGGCTCCAGCTGTTAGACGAAATACAGAAGCCATAATATTCACATGGCACTTCTGGGAATGCGGAAGCTACTTTTCCGAACCAACCACGTCGGTTGAATCACAACTTTTTCAATGCGCTACCTGAGGATACGTTACCTGAGGCGTTATCGTTGAGTCCGATGTTTTGTGTGGCTCGTTATAAAAACGTTCAATTCGAGATTCAAACCCAGCTTGGTGATGTAATCAACCAGACTACCCGGTAACCACTTAGTAACTGCATCGAAAGATAGACTAGATTAACTTGAAATGGAATTTGTCAACGCTTGCCATCAACACAGTTGTAGACATTTATTCCATAGAAGTCCCAGTGAAACACAGACAGGCATTGCACAATTTGTGAGGTAGATCATATCAAATAAAGGATATGGCACAATCATTTTGAATAGCATCGAGTATGTTGACAACAGGTTCGTTAATCGTCCAATGAACATACATTTATCAGAGAACTCAGAAAATATATACCGAGAAAAATAGGGACACAGGTAACCTGCCGTCTAAAACAACTCAGGAGCAAATTTTTTTATTACGGCTGTATACCCCGAATATTTGAGACTAACGAGCATATCTATCCGTCGTATTTACGGACTTCAAAGTTTTGATGAACAAGGTTATCCACTGCCCCGTACACTCGACGTGAGGAGCTAACTTTTGGAACGCTGAGAACTCGTGTTGAAACAGTTATTTCTCAATTGTGTTCGTGACTTGTTCGGGTTCATTGCCTCTGTCAAAGACGTGAACGTCGAGACAAGTGTGCTCCCTGAGTGCTTTACCTGTGTGCAAGTGTTTAAATTATTGTGATTGCAATAGAGCTCACCTCGTAACTTTCTCCTCGTTCTAACATCTTTCAATATATGGTTGGTTATAGGCTCCTCCTCAACCCTATTTATGTCTCTTAATAAAACCGAAAAAATCGTGAATTGGTGGGTTTTTTGCTACGCATTCACCTCGTCAAATCTTTACTCACAGGGCACTGAACTGATAAGCTACTGGGTTAATTTTAGCATCTGATGATAACATTCTTAAGTGAAATAAAGATACAGTGAGTGCAACCATGTGTAACTCCATTCAAGAAGAACAGAAGACATGGCTGGATAACTTGTAAGATGGTCAGCTTTATCTGGCATCTTCCACAATGAATGTGGCGTCACCGTTCTTCTCCCATTTAGCGTAATTCCTGACTGAATAGAACTTAAAAAAGAGTTATTCTTACCCTACGGGTTGGGTACACCAATAAAACTGAATATAGGTGACTGTTGTATTACTGTCCCTGCATGTGTCCGCTTTTGTCACGGTAGATCTAAGAGGACTCAAGGATTGGGCCCAGAAATTATGACATGACTTATGATTTGACAGGAACCGAGACATTTTTACTCAAACCAGCTTTGGTCACGCTGCTAAACTATAGATACCACACCGACTGACAGGAACTCTGCATGCAGCCATTTTAACCTGAAAGCTGCGTCAGTCATGAACAATTATGACTGCGTTCTTCATAATGTTCACACTCTACATTGGAACTCTAGAAAGAATAAATTAAATAGGTATA